AAACGCCATCAGTAGTGTCACCGACCCTCACACAAAGCTGACCCCTAAACCGCCATCAGGTGCCCGCTGGGGCTATTCGCACCCGGCCAGAGCCGGCCCACGTTCCGCTGGCGTACACGTGGCAGGGCTCCTGGCACCCAAATGGTGGCGATATGTCAGGTGCTGAAGGCCGATCAGGCCGTCGCTTACCGAGGATTGTCGCCGCCGCGGTGCTATTGTTACGGGAGCGGCGGCGGACGCCGGCGGCCATTGTCGACTCCTGCGCGGTCGGGCGCGGCCGACAGTTCCAGCTCCGCATCCGCACAGAGCCGAGCCATGCGGCCCGTGGCGGCGGCGCTGGGCCTGCTGCTGGCACTAGCGCAGGCCTCGGAGAGGTTCGAACGCGAACTGGCTCTGCAGCCGGCGGCGCTGCCGCTGCGGCGTCCGGCCGCCTCGCTGGCGGCCTGCGCCGTCCTCTGCGTCCAGCACCCAGGCTGCCAGCTGCTGTCGCTGCAGGACGGCAGCTGCGGCCTGTACGTCGACGGCACGGCGACGGCCCATGCGCCAGTGCTGGCCCTGTACCGCCGCAGCTCCGGCGGCGCGTCAACACCGGGCGGCGGCGGGGGCGCGCTGCTTACCACCGCCGCGACCGGGGACCTTAACACGGGAGCTGGGATGGTCATCTTGCCGGCGGCTCCTGCCCTGACTACGACAGCCGAGAGTACCGACGAAGCGACTGGCGGCGGCGGCGGCGGCGGCGGCGGCGGCGGCGGCGGCGGCGGCGGCCTGCTAGTGGCGTCGACCACTCCAGTGATCAGCCCTGGCTTACCGGGCAGCGGTCAGCCCACGACCACACTGGCACCGACCGCTCCGCCGGCTGGCACCAGCCTGGTGAGCAGCGGTCAGCCCACGACCACACTGGCACCGACCGCTCCGTCGGTTGTCACCAGCCTGGTGAGCAGCGGCCAGCCCACGACCACACTGGCGCCGACCGCTCCGCCGGCTGGCACCAGCCTGGTGAGCAGCGGTCAGCCCACGACCACACTGGCACCGACCGCTCCGCCGGCTGGCACCAGCCTGGTGAGCATCGGTCAGCTCACTACCACACTGGCACCGACCGCTCCGTCGGCTGGCACCAGCCTGGTGAGCAGCGGTCAGCCCACGACCACACTGGCACCGACCGCTCCGCCGGCTGGCACCAGCCTGGTCAGCAGCGGCCAGCCCACTACCACACTGGCACCCAGCACCACAACGGCGGGGTCCGGCTGCGCTATTGGGTGGAGCTTGGTTGACGGCCACTGCTACCGACATGTCGTCGTTAGCCCGCCGCTGACGTTCGATGAGGCGCGCACGCACTGTGGCGGCCTGGCCACCGGTGGTGACCTGGCCGGCCTCTACTCAGAGTCGCACCTCAGCTTCTTCCGCGACCACGCTAGCCGACCTAACGTGCAGCAGTGGATTGGCTTGAGAATATCAGGTTTAGTATGGAAAAATGTCATTGACAGCTCAAGACCGGACATCGATATCGGCGATATATCTGATGGCCGCTTTGCGAACATTCAGCTCAGCTTACCCAGCGACCGTGGAGAAACGCTGCACAGAACCAGCGCTAGCACTCCGTTGGATGCTGTCCTTTGCGAGTCGCCCAAACTTGGTTAACGCTCTTGCACCGCACTCCGTTGTATGGCACACCCTATCAAGCGCCAGTCGGGTGGCGGGATAACGATCTCCAGTGTTTAGCGCAGGCACGAAGTGATCAGCCGTGGTTACAAAGCTTGACGTGTTGAGAGGTCTTCATCTGACCGGTCATGTTCACAGGGCCCCAAGAGTTAGCGGTGGATGGAACGCGATTGTGCATGCTCTGTCGTCTGGTAAGCGTTCCTGTAGCGTTCGGTGACCCACGGCTAGTGTGGCGGGCGGGATGCCGCCCTTGTTATCACGCGTGTGACGGGGCTTCTTGAGCTACTACATTTCTTGGCACGCAGTGCTGTGGCGGCGGTGAAGCCAGCCGGCGCGACCTTGTGGCCCGTCCGAGTCGTGCGCGGTCAGCTGACCATCTGGATAGACGGCGCTGACCGTCGTGACCGCGTGGCCCGTCCAAGTCGTGTGCGGTCAGCTGACCATCTGGATAGATGGCGCTGACCGTCGTGACCGCGTGACCCGTCCAAGTCGTGCGCGGTCAGCTGACCATCTGGATAGACGGCGCTGACTGGCGTGACCGCGTGGCCCGTCCGAGTCGTGTGCGGTCAGCTGACCATCTGGATAGACGGCGCTGACCGTCGTGACCGCGTGGCCCGTCCGAGTCGCGCGCGGTCAGCTGACCACTTTGATAGACGGCGCTGTGCTTGTGAAAGGATGCTGACGGCCTATCGAGCCTCGCACGCGGCGCGTTGTGATGAGCGCCGACGTATGTGTCACGTGTGTATTCCCGATCTGTCACGGTTGTCATCGGTCTGGAGGTGTTTTTGTTGGATTAGATGCAATTTATCGTTTTCCGGAGGAATGTATTTTGTGTTTCCGTACAGCTAATACAAGCAAATGTGATGGGTGTGCTGTTTGTCATCACGAATTAAACACTGAGTACTTACGCTGTTTTACACTCGTGCAGTGATTGGGGAAAGACAAGTGACCAGTTGGTGCGAAGTCCGTGGGATCAACATTTGCGATATGTTTATGGATAACGTCCCTTCTAACAAACAGTGGATGATTTGCTAAGCTTGCTTCAAAACCTGCTATGGGATCACCACAATTGCTGCAGGCGCTGCTGTAATGGACCTTGTGGTTTGGATGATACTTGGGACCCTTTGGAGCGCCAGCAGTTGGGGTCCTTTTGAACGGCCGGTAGTTGGGGTTCTTTTGAGTCTATTAGGCTGTCCTTGCCCATTCAGATTCGTACAGAGTTGGGCATTTTTATTTTGCTCTGTTATTAACATTCCGGTTGACTTTAATGTCCACTATCCTGTCTACTATGTTTTTTGTGCACGGGAATCCATATATTACAACGTCAAGTTTGTAAGCATATATGGTTTAAAAGCCCACGCACCCCTGTCCAATTTGCTGATTGGATTAACGGATACACTGCATCATTGATTTGCAAGCATGAATGCACAATTCATAGCAACCATAAGGTTCCGTTTGACATCGCAGCATGGGCGAGGGGTCGAGGCACTGGCCAAGCATGGTCCAAATAATGAAATGTCCGGCGACACTTTAAACTGCATTTAGCGCTTGGACGAATTTGTGAAGCGGATTTGGAAAACGCCGTGATCTGTAAACCTGGATTGTTTGTTTTCCTGGATTGTTTGAAACCTGGATTGTTGTTTGTTTGTTGCTTGTTTTCTGGCGCCTTCCGCACCCTGTGGCATGCTACCTTAACGTGATGGTTGCAAACAGTACTCGATGCTCAGTGCGACCCGAACGTGGGCATAGTGGTGGGAGGGATAGCGGGCGCTCCGGCAGTTGGTGGGGGGTGATAACGGGCGCTCCGGCAGTTGGTGGGAGTGATAACGGGCGTTCCGGCAGTCGGTGGGAGTGATGACAGGCGCTCCACGGCCCAAGTAATTTCCCAAGTAATTACGAAATGGGAAAACTGTCCCCGAGGAATAGCTGACGAGAAATTGATGATAAAAGTATGAACTCATTTATTGTTTCTTTGTCCCACTGTTTGTTTAACCCTCGTCCTCCCGAATAACCGTTTTTCATCACACGGACTTCCAAGGGGGGGAGGGGGGGATACGACTCCCTCCCTTCTGTTTCGGAACTAAGAAATAAAGAACCTCACGGAAAAGACCAGTAGATTGGCCTCAACAGGATCTTGCGGTTGATGGTGTATTTGGTCTTATTTTGATTATTGGCCCCACTAGGCCAAGTCAAAGGACATTTTTTTTACTGAAAATAGAACTATTGCAGCTTTTGACGCCCGAAGTTACGAAACCATGCAATGTGGCAACTTTTAACTCAAACAGCCATATCCTTTGTTTCGTGTTGTGTACACTGGTATATAGTTTTGCGTGTTCTAAGCGTAGATTCATGACAGAGAACTCCGTGAATGTGAAAGTATCTGTCCGCCAGGCGCGATCGGCGGATTCATCGGTGGCCGCCCGCCGCCTACGCCGGCCGTGGATCGCTGTGCAGTGTTCCTTAAACGTCGCTTCACAGAAGATAGAGATTGTAGAGACATATTTTTGGCGAAGTGCGTGCAATGAATGCTCCATAGGTGACCAAACATTTGGGCTCGATTGCACCACATGTGGGATAGAAATCCTCAGAAAACTTTTGGGGTCGCGTGAAGCCGTCTCCCGCCCCCCGTATTAGGACGTGTTAAAGGGAGTGTTCCACATTTTATGGGATTTTGAACTGAAATAGCCATCATGAAGATTATTTTGTGCAGTTCATAGCTCTGCTCTTCTTACGACCTGAATCCCTCTGGTTTCTGAGCTATACGCCCGCGGAGATGAGTGGACTATTTCGGGAGGGTTATTTCAAAGTCACCAAGGCATGAACGACACCCTGATAACTTTATTGAAATCCTGTCATTGGATTAGCCACGCAGTGATAAAGTTCAAGAAAAATAGAATTGTTGAGTCGTCGAGCAATTTCGGTACTGGTGCTTGTGAACAAAAGATATATCAGATGACTTGTCAGAGCGAAGAATGGCCTTTTTGACAAAATAAACGTAAAGTTGTCTGAATCAATTTCGTGTCCATATCAACCATGCATTTTCATAACACATAGAATTACATTTGATTCGTAAACGATGGGCGGTGGTGCAATAGATCACTGATCTGATATGGTCTGGGACCATTTGTTTTGCAAAATGTTTGCATCGAACGCATTGTCATCTAGGTCAAATGTGATTATGTTGCCATCCGACGTTCTTCATTACCTCGATAGCTGGTTCAGACGTCCACTGTGATCAGTCCAGGTCGCCTCTTCCTCTCCTCCCTCCCCACACGCGCACCTTCACAGGAGTAGCTTCTCATATGCCGTGTCGTGTTCACAGAAGCCATCTCTGCCATCAGGTGTTGGCGCAAACACTCGGCCTGATGCGTGACAAGGGTGAGGATGAACTGAAGGTTCAGATGGGCTGGATGAATCCCAAGGCTATCACCATGGGCCAGCTGTACGGACAGTTTGACCCCGTGTCGCACGAGTGGACGGACGGGGTGTGCGCCACCATGTTCAGGTCAGCACGCTGCCATCACTACCACCTGTGGTGTGAAGTAACATGAGCCATGCTGTAGAGTTATGTCGGGAATACGCTGCGCAGCGTTTAAGCATTTTGCGCCATGAACTCTCCCAGATACTACGCAGTACACCCTCGTGTGCTACATGTGGATGAATTGAACTGCTCTAAGCTGAAATGGGATGCCTCGTCGCGACCAAGTATATCACGCTGCGTAAAAACGGTGGCACTTTTAAAGCAATTTAATTCTTGTTTCGTGAATGGCGGTGTGCTGGATGCCTCTGACCGTGCGCTGCGTACGGCTCGGCCACAGACAGATGGCCAGCAGCGAACTGCCGGACCGACAGTGGGTGATCTTCGACGGCCCGGTGGACGCCGTCTGGATCGAGAACATGAACACGGTGCTGGACGACAACAAGAAGCTGTGCCTGATGTCGGGAGAGGTGATCCAGATGTCGGCCCTCCATGTCGCTCATCTTCGAGGTGATGGATCTCTCTCAGGTGAGGCCAGTCGTCAGGCGCTGGAAGGCCGTGATCGGCGGCCCGTTCAGCTTTCCCACTGTCAAGGATGGCGCGCTACATGATGAAATGTGATGCTGTGTGGGATGTGCCATGAAGCATGCCTTTTCTCTCATATGGATCGCGGAAAGAGCATGTCTATAGCTTGCCGCCGGTGCTGTTTCTGGCTCCCTTTCCTCCACTTGACGCCGGAGATTGCGATGGCATATGGGCGTAGCAAGAATAGGACCTAGCTGTATTGTAGACATGACAACGCCCTTCAGAGCATGCTGTCCAATCCACCTTATTGTACACACACTAGGCTTTAGGTAGCTGATCAGCACATATTTCTTTTGAATATGAGATTACGCACGAACGCAGTACATGAGCAAGCCATAAGGCAGCTGAACTCTGGCGGGACGCACTAAGCTTTGACACCGATCCCGTAGGAATGGCATTATTTCGTTTTTAGATATACTGAATGGCTGGAGTAGACCTCAAAATGAAATACAAAGATGCAAGAGCTCCGTGGCTTTCTCCTGTTTTACCATGTGCCGTCGCTCTGTCACTATGTGTGTTTCCATGGACTATTGCGTTGCCCTGTTGAGGTTCTCCCTTCTTCCTGTCACGTGCCGTGCTCCAATGTCCCGCTGTGTCTCCTATATGACCTGGCGCTCTGTGTCTCCGACAAATGCCCGCCGCGCCCGCTCTCGTCGCGATTAAGCTTTCGTCCCCGCCGCTGAGTATCTGTTCCCGTCGCGGCGGGTACTGCTGTCCGTCCTCCCCCCCCCCCTCCGTGATCGTCTGACCCTCTGCCGAGTGTCTCTGCCCGTCGCGGCGGATGCTGCTGCCCGCTCCCCCTACCGTGATCGTCCGTCCCCTCATCTGAGTGTCTCTGCCGTCGCGCGGGGATACTGCTGTGCGCTCCTCCTCCATGATCGTCCGTCTCCTCTGCCGAGTGCCTCCGCCGATCGCGGCGGATGCTGCTGTCCGCTCCCCCCCATGATCGTCCCCTGCCGAGTGCCTCTGCCGGTCGCGGCGGATGCTGCTGTCCGCTCCCCTCCATGATCGTCCCCTCTGCCGAGTGCCTCTGCCGGTCGCGGCGGATGCTGCTGTCCGCTCCCCTCCATGATCGTCCCCTCTGCCGAGTGCCTCTGCCGTCGTGGCGGATGCTGCTGCCCGCTCCCTACCGTGATCGTCCGTCCCCTCATCTGAGTGTCTCTGCCCGTCGCGGCGGATACTGCTGTCCGCTCCCCCTCCATGATCGTCCGTCCCCTCTGCCGAGTGCCTCTGCCGGTCGCGGCGGATGCTGCTGCCCGCTCCCCGCCGTGACGCCTGCCTGGCCGCAGGCGTCGCCGGCTACCGTGTCGCGCTGCGGCATGATCTACGTGGAGCCGCGCTCTCTGGGCTGGCGGCCGCTGCTGACCTCCTGGCAGGCGCAGCTGGACCCCAGCTGGGCAGCCGATCCCACTGTGGCCGACTACCTCAGCGCTGCCATCGTCTGGCTCTTCGACAACAGCTACGACTTCATGCGCCACCACTGCCGCGAGGTGGTGCCAACCAGCGCCAGCAACCTGGCTCGGTAAGCCAACTGACGGGCGGCGCCCAGCGCCTCGCGACCCGCCGGGGGCCCCATGAGAGCCATTAGTTGGCTCACGGTCACCTGGGGTCCATTTTCTATAAGGACACGCCAGTCCATTCCCAGCTCGAATATGGCCACCCGGCGCTCATTCGGCTCAGAGCCACAATGTCGATGTGCACTGGTGACCTTGGCGAGGACAAGGTAAGACGTGAAGTGATGTTTATATCTAAAAAGCTACACCGTTGTGACGCATCTTCAAAACATTAGACCAGTATCTGTCCACTCCCGACGATAGCAGTGTGGCTGATGCTCGAGGAAATTGCTCGTTAGGCTTCCGAGATTTGGACTTGTTTAAACTGTTCTTCATTGTGAAGTCAAGTGAGGTACATACCGAGCCCATTTCGTCCGGAGTCCGGTCACTGTGTGCCCATGAAGACCGGACACGTGGTCAGTGCCGACGTGCTGTGACACGTGCCGACGTGCTGTGCTGTGCTGACGGGTCCCGGCCGCGGTGACGCTTCGCCTCGTCTCGTTTCGGCCTCCGTGGCCTGAACCGGTCCCGTTTCCGATCCCAGCCGCTCGGCCAACGGTCACGTTTTCCCGGGTCTCTGGCTCCGTGGCCTGTCCCAGTCCCGTTTCCGATCCCAGCCGCTCGGCCAACGGTCACGTTTTCCCGGGTCTCGGGCTCCGGGGCCTGTCCCAGTCCCGTTTCCGATCCCAGCCGCTCGGCCAACGGTCACGTTTCCCCGGGTCTCGGGCTCCGGGGCCTGTCCCGGTCCCGGTTCCGGTCCCAGACGCTTGGCCACCGGTCACGCGTACCCGGGTCTCGGGCTCCTTGGCCAAGTCCGCGGGCTGTCGGCGGCCGGCTGAAGAATAGGATGAGAATGGAAATGTCGCTTAAGTGGACGCGTTGTCACGCATTCTCCTGCAAGTTTTCCCACGTCCCTGGATGCGAGGACGTTTCATGCGCAACACGCTGGTCTTGTCTGCGCTGCTTTAAAGGCTTCTTAATCAGCGCCTTCTTCTTGTTTGGAGTTTGCATAGCGCTCCAAACAAGAAGAATGTTTTTTTTTACATTTGCAGTGTATGCAGAAGAATGGATATTTGTTATCAAATCATTGTGTCATTCGTCTTTGTTTTGTAGTCATTTACGCACGTTGAAAACAGTCAATCCGGAAGCAATACCGGCATCATTTAGTAAGCGGTGCCAAACGCTGACGGTCGGTCGCGGCGTGCGGCCGGCAGCTCCCTGATGAACCTGGTGGAGATGACTGTGACGGACACGCTGGCCGACTGCAAGGAGAAGGACCGCGAGAAGCACCTGCGCACCTGGCTACTCTCGTCTGTCGTGTTCGCCACGGTCTGGTCGGTCGGTGGCGTGCTGGACGATGCCAGCCGCCAGAAGTTTGACGAGTTCTTCAAGAACCTGCACGCAGGTGTGTGGCGTCGGGATGGCCGAGGACGGCCGGCGGCGTTTGAAGGGGTCCGGGCGCGTGTGCGACAGGATACGCTCGGTGGTGGGGGGGGGGGGGGGCAGAACCGGATGTCGTCGACGCAGCGGACCTGTGAGGGGGGGGGGGGCTGAAGCGGAACAGCACTGGGTGTCGTCCTGACGCATTGGACCCGTGGGGGAGGGGAGCTGGGCAGCACCGGGTGTCGTCAGCGTAGCGCACCTGTAGGGAGGGGAGGGCGGGGCAGCACCGAGTGTCGTCGGTGCAACGGACCTGCGGGAGGGGGGGGGGGGGGGAGCGGGGTAGCGCCCGGTGTCGTCAGTGCAGCGGACCTGTGAGTCGTATATGATGGTATGGCTGAGCCCTCTGCTGCCTTTGCAGTTGAATGCCAACCGTGTGAGACCGCTGTGATGACCCGGCTTTCTCTCCCGTCATTATCCATGCATGTGAGTTCGTCCTGACGCTCGTCGTGCCCGTGCACTACGCGCCCTCGTCGCCGGACATCTCCACGTGCCCCGCCGCTCCGGGGTAGAAGGCCGCGGCGAACCGCGGCAAGGCCGGCGCGCTGTGACCGTACGTCGGCGCGCGCCCAGGCCTGGACGAGGCGTACCCGGTGCCGGCCGAGCTGGGCAAGGTGGACGTACCGATGCCGCCGGACGGCTCCGTGTACGACTATTACTACGAGTACAAGGCGCGCGGCCAGTGGCGCTCCTGGAACGAGCTGGCGCGCGCCGCCGAGCACGCGGGCGCCGAGGTCAAGAACATCCGAGCCACCATCGTGCCGACCATCGACACGGCCCGGTGAGAGCCGGCGGCGCTAGCGCGGGCGCCGGAGCGAGTGACCCGGGCCGGGGAACACGGGTGCCCGGTCCCAGCCTCGTACGCCGCGTGCTGAACCGGGCCTGTCGCGACTGGCGGGGGTGAGGGGGGGGGGGAGGATGCGACAGTTATGGTCGTAGCCTGAGTTGACGTGTATCACTCGATAGTTTCATGATTATCATGATGTGGGCTAACATGATGGAGTGGGAAGCCGGCTCTGACGGTTGTTGTCAGTGGCGTGACCCTGTGGTCAGCGGGCACTCAGTAGTCAGGGTAATTTAACGCCGACCCTTGCGTACACATACGTGGTCCTGACTTTTGATATATGTCGTGCGAGGTGTCTCTCCGATTCTTCAAAGATCGCAGGATGTTTCGGGGGGGGGGGGGGGCACCACCGCCCCACTGAAAACAGGACTTTATACCAGAAAACTGGACTCTTGTCGCCATGCACACACGCACATGAACAAACGAACACGCTGTGTTATTCAACACTATCGGTTTAGCCTTGCCGTGCCAGTGGCGCCCGGGCCGCGGGTCGGCGACCTTCCGCGTCGCTGCTTAAGCGAGCTCGTCGTGCATCGCCGTTGTGTTTGGCCGTCTGCCACCAACGCGCGGTTTGACGTGGGTGGCGGTGTGGTGTGCGGCAGGTACACCTACCTGATGGATTTGTGCATTCGCCATCGCCATCCCCTTCTGATCGTCGGTCCCACGGGCACGGGTAAGAGTGCGTACGTGCAGAACAAGCTCATGCACCAGCTCGACCCGGAGAGTTTCATTCCTTTCTTCGTCACTTTCTCCGCCCAGACGACCGCCAACCAGACGCAGGTGAGGACGCGAAAAAGCTGCGGTCCACTGCAGACATGGAGGCTTTTCGCGGCTGTGTTAACGTTCCCTGGTCAGTGTAATGGTGTTGAAATGTGCACATGTGAACATAATGCAGACCTGAGGTTGAAAATACCGGAAAATGTTGAATAGACTGATTCACATTGCTTTATGAGCCCGATGTTGATAGTGTGTTTGCTAGGTTATATGATTGTGTGGCCGGTTTATTGATTGTGTAAATGCGGAGGATTGCGGGTTGATCGCCGCCGTCCGTATCGACCCATCACAAAGCGCCGTCGGGGCCCTGACGTCGGGCCTGTGGCGCGCCGCCAGGACCTCATCATGTCGCGCCTGGACAAACGGAAGCGAGGCCTATACGCGCCGCCGCTCGGCAGGCGCTGCGTCATATTCGTCGACGACGTGAACATGCCGGTGCGAGAGATCTACGGTGCGCAGCCCCCGATCGAGCTGCTGCGCCAGTTCCTGGACCACGGCAACTGGTGGGTGGGGCTCGTTTGCAGGGTGCTGGGTGCTGGATACATTCTGGGTGTTACGAGGACACTGACGGTTATATCCTCTGCACCTGTTGTGACGCTCTTCAACATTTTGCGTCCCCCGCAGGTACGACCGCAAAGACTGCACCAAGATATTCATGGAGAATGTACAGTTTCTGTGTGCCATGGGGCCGCCGGGCGGAAGTCGTCAGGAAATCACCCCTCGCTTCCTGCGTCACTTCAACGTTGTCTCCATCAACTCTTTCTCGGAGGCCACGATGAGTCGCATCTTCACCTCCCTGCTCTCCGTCTACATGAGGGTAACCCTCAATTGTCTTGTTGCGCAGCTTGTGTGAAAGAACGGGTGCGCGAGTCTTTCCACGCAGTTGGTGTCGCCTTGCTTTTTATGCTTTGGCTGTATTTGTGCAAACAGTAACAGTTTTTGACCCGATTGGTGTTATCCTCGATCGTCCCAACACGCCTCGAAAACACCCATACAAGACTGGCGTGCTTCGACCATAGGGAAAGAAGAGGCCTGGTCAGATCCGAGCTTGTGAGATGAGCTGACGGTGCAGGACAGGCCAGCTTCGTCCGCGGGACCGTGTGTCCTTGCCTCTGTCTTGTCGCGACCTTTGGCTGCCGTCACCACCTGGGCCTGCACCTGGGCGGCAGGGTGTCTGGCGCCGCCCTGCCCCCCCCCCCCCCCCCTGACGTTGACGACGCTGCCCCCCACCGCCAGAACTGCGGCTTCTCGGCCGACATGTTTAGCCAGGCGTCGGCCATCGTGGCGGCCACCATCGAGGTGTACTCGGCCGCCATGTCCAACCTGCTACCCACGCCCACCAAATCGCACTACACGTTCAACCTGCGCGACCTGGCTCGGGTGGTGCTCGGCTGTACGCTCGTCAAAAAAGAGTCGGTCGACAACAAGCGCGTCTTTACCCGGTACGTAGCGCGCGAACAGAGGGCCTTCTAGCTGCGCGCGGGACAGGCAAGTCGTTGCAAACAGCAGTTACAGAAAGCCGGTCGTGCGGGAACACATTGCGGTAGTTGGCCAGTCAAAAGTAATGCTTTCTTCCCCCCATTTATTCCGTTCCGCATCGCCCCCTGTTGTTGACAGTCGCGTCTCATGTGTTTCTGTTCCGACATCGCGCTCCGCATCTCGTTCAAACGTCGGTGTCAAGCGAGGGCGACATTGCCCGGCGAACGACCTTTCCTGCCCGACTGGGAGTGGGCAGGAGCTGGCGGGCTTACCACGTTCCCTGCCAGACCGGGGCTGGCGGGTTGACTACGTTCCCTGCCAGACCGGGGCTGACGGGCTGACCACGTTCCCTGCCAGACTGGGGCTGGCGGGCTGACCACGTTTCCTGCCAGACTGGGGCTGGCGGGTTGACTACGTTCCCTGCCAGACTGGGGCTGACGGGCTGACCACGTTCCCTGCCAGACTGGGGCTGGCGGGCTGACCACGTTTCCTGCCAGACTAGGGCTGACGGGCTGACCACGTTCCCTGCCAGACTGGGGCTGGCGGGCTGACCACGTTTCCTGCCAGACTGGGGCTGGCGGGCTGGCCACGTTCCCTGCCAGACTGGGGCTGGCGGGCTGACCACGTTCCCTGCCAGACTGGAGCTGATGGGCTGACAACGTTCCCTGCCAGAATGGAGCTAGCAGGCTGGCCCCGTTCCTTGCCAGACCGGGGCTGGCAGGCTGACCACGTTCCCTGCCAGACTGGAGCTGGCGGGCTGGCCACGTTCCCTGCCAGACCGGGGCTGGCGGGCTGACCACGTTCCCTGCCAGACTGGAGCTGGCAGGCTGGCCACGTTCCCTGCCAGACTGGGGCTGGCGAGCCGACCACGTTCCCTGCCAGACTGGAGCTGGCGGGCTGGCCACGTTCCCTGCCAGACCGGGGCTGGCGGGCTGACCACGTTCCCTGCCAGACTGGAGCTGATGGGCTGACAACGTTCCCTGCCAGAATGGAGCTAGCAGGCTGGCCACGTTCCTTGCCAGACCGGGGCTGGCGGGCTGACCGGCCTCCGCCGCGGTGTTGCAGGCTGTGGGTGCACGAGGTGTACCGTGTGTTCTACGATCGGCTGGTGGAGGCCTCAGACCGCACCTGGCTGTATCAGCTGGTTCGGGAGTGCGTCAAGAACCACTTCAAGGACACATTCGACGCTGTGTTCGAGCGGCTGAGTACGTCATCAGGACAGGTGCGCCGGCCCGCTCCTCCCCCTCCCCCCCCCCCCCCCCCCCCTCCCCTATTCTAGCCATGCACAGTGCGCTTCCGCCGCCTTTGATGAGGTCTGAGGTTTTAGTGTGCTCGCCGGGGGATTCTGTCCTGTGGCATTGTCCATGCTGCGCCCGCCTTTGACGTGTGTTATACCATAGCGGGCTTCCTATTCTTTCACGCATTTCGCATTGGTACTGGCCATTTCCACGAGCCGCCTGCTGCCCAGGTGACCGAGGAGGGTCTCAACAGTCTGATGTTCGGTGACTACATGGACCCCGACCTGCTCCCGGAGGAGCGCAAATACGAGGAAGTCACTGACCTCGACCGGCTGCTCGAGGTCTGCACGCAGTCGCTGCAGGAATACAACATGACGCACAAGACCGGCATGGACCTGGTGCTCTTCAGGTGCGCTGTGACGGGCGACGCCTCGCAGAGCGGCGACGTCTTCTCTGTCCGAGAGCGGTCTACCGTTGGGTCGCTTGCTGGTAACACCCGTCGCACATTTCCCTCCGTCCCGGCGGGTCTGTGTCGGACCGTGCGTGCCCTCTGCCGCCGATTGCGCCGGAGCTCGCTGCGTCCGGCGCCACGTGTCGGACCTCCAGCGTCCCCCGTCGGGCGGTACCTGATTGGCACGCGTCCCCGTCGTCAGGTACGTGCTGGAGCACCTGTCGCGCATCTGCCGCGTGCTCTCGACGCCCGGTGGCAACGCGCTGCTGGTGGGCGTGGGCGGCTCTGGGCGCCAGTCGCTGACGCGGCTGGCCGCCTCCATGGCACAGTTCCAGCTGTTCCAGCCTGAGATCAGCAAACAGTACGGTAGGTGCTGTGCGCGGGGGATGAAACCGCCCCGGTTGTACGCGGCGCTGGGCTTGCTTATGGCCGCTCCCGCTCTGCCAGAAATGACCTAATGACATTTAGTAAGGCCTAGTATACAGCCGTATGCCGGGACATTTGTTGAAGTGGCTCCTTTCCTGCGCTGACGAGGTAATGAGAGTGCCGTGGGCGCTGCCCAGCTGCCGCGCAGTTGACGTCACCGTACCAGACAGTCTGTGGCCATTGCGGCGGTGAGCCCAGGCCGGCGGCCAGTGTGTGGGCCACGGGCCGTGTCGGTAACGGCGGCCGGCTCCAGGCCGCCAGGAGTGGCGCGACGACATCAAGGCCACACTGCGCGGCGCCGGCGGACTCGGCAAGCCCACCGTCTTCCTGCTGACCGACTCGCAGATCAAGGAGGAGTCCTTCCTCGAGGACATCGACTCGCTGCTCAATTCGGGCGAGGTGCCCAACCTCTTCCCACCGGACGAGAAGCAGGAGGTCATGGAGGTGAGCGGCGGCGGCTGGGCGAGGTGGAGACCGTGTGCGGGCTGGAAGTAGAGCAGGAGATCTGGCGGATTGGGTCGCAGCAATCCTTGAGCTGGGGGGGGGGGGGGGGCAGGATAGAATCCATCAGGCAGGAGGGAAAATGTCAGACAAGGCCTAGATTTGGCGTGGCGGCCTGGAACGGATGGACTTTGGATGGAGGGGGGGGGGGGGGGGGGAGGGCACCTCATAAACACGGTATCAGTCAGCGGTTTGGTCTGTCGACCACTTTACTCAGCCGCGTAGGTCGATCTATATGATTTCCCGCGTGAGTTTTTGATAACCTTCAAATCCCCACAGCATTCTAGCGTGCAACGCATTAGGTGCACCAAGCAAGAAAGGGAACTGCATTTGAAGACGAGAAGACGTGCGACTCTCTGTACTTCCCTTGTTTCCAGTTGGTACGAAACCTGGCGACTGGAGGAAAAAAGAATGCCGACATCAGCCCGTTGCAGCTTTTCGCCTTCTTCATCCAGAGATGTCGCGACTTGTTTCACATTGTCATCGCCTTCAGCCCGATCGGAGACGCCTTCCGCAATCGGCTGCGCCAGTTCCCCTCGCTGGTGAACTGTTGCACCATCGACTGGTTCCAGGTCGGTCCGCCGGTCCATTGGGGTCAGCTCTGATACTTGCACAGGATTTGTGCTATGTGAATTGCCGGCTAGCTGCACAGGCGTATTAGCATGTGCAGTGTCCAAACCCAGCCCTGCAAAATGTCCATATCACGTACCTGCGTATCAGACGTTCGTTAACTACTCATTGTACATTTGTTTAAAAGCGTTTGTGCTGTAGGTAGCGCTGGCCACCAGATGTGTATTTATGCCTGCACTGCCGCTTATGCACGGATCTGGCCTCGGTTGACCCTGTTCTGGCCGGAGGGGTACGTCCCCTGCCCGGATCTGGCCTCGGTTGACCTTGTCCTGGCTGGAGGGGGTACGTCCTCTGCCCGGATCTGGTCTCGGTTGACCCTGTCCTGGCCGGAGGAGGTACGTCCTCCACCCGGGTCTGGTCTCGGTTGGCCCTGTCCTGGCCGGAGGGGGTACGTCCTCTGCCCGGATCTGGCCTCGGTTGACCCTGTCCTGGCCGGAGGTAGGTACGTCCTTTGCCCGGATTTGGTCTCGGTTGACCCTGTCCTGGCCGGAGGGGGCACGTCCTCTGCCCGGATCTGGCCTCGGTTGACCCTGTCCTGGTCGGAAGGGGCACGTCCTCTGCCTGGGTCTGGCCTCGGTTGACCCTGTCCTGGTCGGAGGGAGATACGTCCTTTGCCCGGATCTGGCCTCAGTTGACCCTGTCCTGGCTGGAGGAAGCACGTCCTTTGCCCGGATCTGGCCTCAGTTGACCCTGTCCTGGCTGGAGGGAGCACGTCCTCTGCCCGGGTCTAGCCTCGGTTGACCCTGTCCTGGCCGGAGGGGGCACGTCCTCTGCCCGGGTTTGGCCTCAGATGACGCTACCCTATCCACAGCCCTGGCCGGAGGAGGCATTGGAGCGTGTGGCTCAAAAGTTCCTGGAGGCCGTGGATCTGGAGGATGACGTCAAGCTGGCCACCATCGACGTCTGCAAGTACTTCAACAAGTCGGCCATGTGCGTAACGCGTCGCAGCCGGCTATCGCGTGCCGGTTGGCCTATAGGGGTACCCGTGACCTCTCCGGCTGCAGTCCGAGTCTAGCAACGAAATCATCACGATTCATGATGAAAAACGAAGCATCGTCGCCCGTATTCTTTGGAATATATGCTCGTGTTTTGCAGGGATTACTTCCATTTATCTGTCATTCATATCAATGTTGAAGCGCGGGGCCGGTTTCTGTTGTATGAACGGGCTAAACTCGGTGTGTCGAATGAATTGATGGTGTACTCCTTTATGTTTGGTGACACGGCGGCCATCCTACGCATCAGGGTGGCCGCCGTGTAACCGCCAGGTACCAGGTGCCCAGGGAGTGCGACCAGGTATTGCTTGCGTCCAGAGCAGGCCTCCGTCTCACATGGGCGAGCATATACAGATCTTCCGTGTCGTCGCGATCGGTTCCAGCTGTTGACGTGCCCTGACCCGCTGCGCGCCAGGGACATGGGCGTCCGGTTCCTGGCCACGTTGGGTCGCCGCGTCTACATCACACCGTCCTCCTTCCTGGACCAGATCCACGCCTTCCGCAAGCTCATCTCACAGCGGCAGCGGGAGACCAGCGAAGCCCGCAACCGGTATCTGGGTGGCCTCAACAAGCTGGCCTTCGCCGCATCCCAGGTGAAAAAGCCCTGCCGTCCCCGCCGTCAGCGTCGCTCCCGACACATCAAGACAGGGGTTGGCACATCTCCCTGCTCTGTTGGGCCTCTTGACATGGGCTGCCCATCGGCTGGGCTCCTGAGCTGCTCTGGAGCAGGTGTGCTGGGGCTGGCGGCGGTCGCCGCGGGGTCGTGCTCTGTGCAGGACGGTGGATGCTGCACATGTTGGGGATGCTGCTGCGTCGCACAACGGCCCGGTGTAGCCGGAACCTCGGGTGGCATGTTTGCAATAAAGGCCAGGGCTTGCGCGGTGTGATGGGAACGACAGTGGTCCCGTATTGCATGCCACGCGTGGCGTCTTATGGTAAATTCGCGTTGTGCCTCTGTCAAGTACTATAAGTTGGTAGTGTCTGGGTCAGCAGGTGTGCTGAGTAGCGTGCGTAGTGTGGCTCAACGGAGACCTGACTGCGCGTCCAGTTCAGCAGCGCGTGCGCGGTGTGTTCCAGGTGCACGACATGCAGGTGGAGCTGGAGGCGCTGCAGCCCAAGCTGGTGGCGGCCGCGCACGAGACAGAGGAGATGGTCCGCGTTATCGAGATAGAGTCAGCCCAGGTCAGCTGACTGTCGCCGTCGCCGCCGCCGCCGCCGCCGGGGCAGCGACTGGCGGCGCCGATAGGTCCCGGAGGGTCACTCGTAGGCGTTTCTGGTGTGCCTTCGTCCGTTCGCGTGTGTCGCCACTGACGCTCTGGCGAAGCCCTGGCAATCCATGCTTTACTGGTAGTTCGCGCTCCTCACACATCACACCGGCGGTGAGGTCGATGGCCACTTCTAGGAGTTGACAGTGTAAAGTGACGGCATGGCCCCGGATGTCTATCGCTTCCGCAATGTGGCGTGCGGTAGAGCGCCATGTTACGATCCATCTGCACCGAGCCTGCCACCGCTTTTGTATCCGATTTTCTGACGTCGGTCCGCACACCAGGTGGCCGAGATGTCTGCCAAGGTGAAGGAGGACGAAACGGCGGCCAATGTGAAGGCAGAGGCGGCCACCAAGCTGAAGGAGGAGTGTGAGGCGGACCTGGCCGAGGCACTGCCCGCGCTGGAAGGTCAGGAAACACTCGCACTGAAGCGGCATTGTGCGACGCTACTAACGCTGGTTGTTCATCACACACGGTTACGCTGGCCGCGTGTCAGAGTAAACGTTTGCTCAAACGGTGCTGTCAGATGTCGTGTGTATTGAAAAGTCAGCAAACGCTTCCACTAAGGCAGGAGTCGTCTTCAGAGCCGTCTAGCTCGTCGTCTTTCTCATCCCTCATTCTTGGAAAGTGTTAGCTGCCCCTGGATCCATGATTTTCGCTTTCCTGATGAGAGTGCTCTACGACTTTTCTTATCAGCCTAACTCGTTATCGCCGCAGTGCACGTTATCATGGGCCTTCGAATATCACATTGTTGACGAGGTCTCGCGCGGTGCTGACGCCTCGTTCCTGTTCTCGCGCGCGTGTAGCCGCTCTGGCGGCGCTGGATACGCTGAAGCCCGCCGACATCACGCTGGTGAAGTCCATGAAGAACCCGCCGGCCGCTGTTAAGGTGGTCATGGCCGCCGTCTGCGTCATGAAGGAGGTGAAGCCTGACCGAGTCAACGACCCCAAGAAGCCCGGACAGAAGGTGGGTCCGGCGTGGTCAGGTGGGACGCGCACCGGGATAGTGACGTGCTCTGTGACGCATGCCCGGCCTTGTACTCGGTCATGGGTGTGCATTGACGGTGCTACCTTCATGTGGCGGGTTTTGTTCGTCTTTTTCTACCGCACAGGAGCGGCGCTATTGTGTACCGCCTACGATCGCTTCTGCTTTACCAAAGGTCATGTTGGTTTCGCCCCACCACCGTCGAGTGCTGTAGAGCCGGCGGCGCGTCCGCCGCCTGTAGACCGTTCGGTAGCCGCAGCGTCACCGACTGAGGGTGTCGCCGCCGCGCTGCGTCTGCGCCATCGGCCGGCTGACCGCCGCCACCCGGCAGATGAACGACTACTGGGGGCCCAGCCTGAAGATCCTGACGGACACTGCGTTCCTGACGTCGCTGCGCGAGTACGACAAGGACAACATTCCGCCGGCCGTGATCGAGCGCATTCGGCGCGAGTACATGAAGGACCCGCTGTTCGTGCCGGCCGTGGTGGCCAAGGCGTCCAGCGCCGCCGAGGGGCTCTGCAAGTGGGTCAAGGCCATGGAGAGCTACGACCGGGTCGCCAAGGTCAGCGCGTCTCCTGCGGCGCACATCGACGGCGCGGATGTGCCACACGCTGTTCGTGAGGGCTGCACGAGTGGGCCTGATAGCAGTGCCCTAGGGAAGGGGTCTCCAAGTTCCCGTTGGCGGGAGGGAGGCTGCATGTTCTCACTGCTCGCAGGAGGAGGCACCAAGTTCTTGCTTTGGGGGCGTTGGCCTTGCTTTCTCTGCAGCCGATGTCTGTTCAAGTGTCTTCTCTCATGCGCGGTTAGTTCTATAGTGCCGCCTCTCCTGTTGACAGATCGTGGCGCCAAAGAAGGCGAATCTGGCGCAGGCCGAGGCGGAGCTGGCCGAGACCATGGCGATCCTGGACGAGAAGCGAGCCGAGGTTAGTCGGCGCTGGCGCGGCGCGCCGCTGCTGCAGCTGCCGAGTCTGACTCTCCCGGGCCGCCGCGCTTGATCTCACGCACCAGAGACACGCTCAGGGACCGGCGTTTGCAATGTACCTTCAGTCGGCAGCCTTACCCATGGTGCCTACGTCGGAGCGTACGTTATCAACGTCACTCCCATTCCAACCGACACTGTCCCGGGTGCTCTGTGATGTGATCGAGCTCACTCGCCGGTGTTTTGGTGGCTGATGCGCCTCCGGACCGCCTGCACAGCCGCCTGTCTGGCACCAGGTGGCGCCATGATCGCGGCCCGTGTCGACAGGTGGCAACACTGGAGGCCCGGCTGCAGCAGCTCAAGGACCAGTACCAGGAGGCGTGCGAGCGCAAGCAGCACCTCACCGAAGAGGTGCAGCTGTGCGAGATGAAGCTGGAGCGCGCTCAGAAGCTGATCGGTAACGGCCGGCCCGAGGCGGCCGTGTCAGCTGGTGTCCGCCGCCCAGCGCTGGTCAGCTGGTCCAGCCCCTTATCCGCTGGCCACTGCTGGCCAGCTGGTCCAGCCCCTTGTCCGCTGGCTACTACTGGTCAGCTGGTCCAGACCCTTGTCCGCTGGCTGCTACTGGTCAGCTGGTCTGGCCCCTTATCCGCTGGCCACTGCTGGTCAGCTGGTCCAGCCCCGTGTCCGCTGGCCACTGCTGGCCAGCTGGTCCAGCCCCTTGTCCGCTGGCCACTGCTGGTCAGCTGGTCCAGCCCCGTGTCCGCTGGCTACTACTGAGCAGCTGGTCCAGCTCCGTTTCCGCTGGCCAGTGCTGGGCAGCTGGCCCATCCCCTCGTCCACTTCAGCCAGAGGAAAATTAACATGATTCGCCCAAGGCGGAGCCAACGCCGCTCTCTGTGAAACAGGGATTGGGCGGGACGGAAAGACCAGAATGCATGTCACATTGTGAAATTTCGTTACGACGGTGTTTTCTAGCTACGACGCTAGGGTGCGACCGTGATAACTGCTAAAACCGCCACGAGTCGTTATCTCTTTACTGGAATCGGCCAGGCGTGGTATGTGAGGTCAGGAGTGACTGTGACATGTGTCGGCGAATGACTCCCGCTGATCCACCTCTCCCGGCCAGGCGGTCTGGGCGGTGAGAAGGACCGCTGGTCGACGGCCGCCGCCGACCTGCTGGCCGTGTACGGCAACCTGACGGGAGATGTGCTCGTCTCTTCGGGCGCCATCGCCTACCTGGGGCCCTACACGGCCAACTTCAGGTCAGTTCGCACCCGACGGCGGAGTGCCGGCTCTGGGCGGGAGGCGTCCCGACGGCCGTCGGCGCCGACTGCCGGCGCCGTCCGCGCCGCAGTGAGCCAGTGTTATAAGCTTTGATGCTTCCGATATGGCATCAGAGCGCCTTCAGGCCTGAAAGAATTTTGTTCTGCACATATTTGCGAACCCGTGGAATTACCGGTCGCGAAAGTTTGGGGGAAAAATGTCACGAAATGCGATATTAAGTTAACAACATCCAGCTTTTACCGAGTTCTGAGATATTTTTCCAGAGCTCGCAACATGAACTTGGCGCCGTTTACAGCAGAGAGAGGTTGGCTCGTTGGTACGTAGGGTACCGACAACTTTGGTTCTACTGACCTAGATGCATTACATGTCTGATGGCTGTGGGACGTGCCGCGTTCCTAACGACGCGCCTGTCCGTGCACAGAGACGCATGCCTGCAGGACTGGCTCAAACATGTCGGCTCCAAGAAGCTGAAGCTCTCGGACGACTTCAGCGTCAGCAAGACGCTGGGTTCGCCTATCACCATACAGGCGTGGAACATCAACGGACTGCCCAAGGACTCGTTCTCCATTGATAACGCTGTCATCACCCAGGTAAGTGCCGGAGAGTGGTCGCCGTCGTGGTGCTCGGAGCACCCCCAGCGAGGCTCGTCAACGTGTCTCGTCACTGAAACTTACCCGGCTTGACCCTCGGCGGGTGTCAGGGTGTTGCTGCTCCCGCTGGGTGGGTGTGTTGTTTGACCTGTCGTGACCTTTGGCAGGGGTCATGGTGTTAATGCTCCTGCTGGGTGGGTGTTTGGTTTGACCTGTCGTTACCTCTGACGGGTGTCACGATGTCACTGCTCCCGGTGGGTGGGTGTTTGGTTTGACCTGTCGTGACCTCCGGTGGGTGTCACGATGTCACTGCTCCCGGTGGGTGGGTGTTTGGTTTGACCTGTCGTTACCTCTGACGGGTGTCACGATGTCACTGCTCCCGGTGGGTGGGTGTTTGGTTTGACCTGTCGTTACCTCTGACGGGTTGTCACGATGTCACTGCTCCCGGTGGGTGGGTGTTTGGTTTGACCTGTCGTTACCTCTGACGGGTGTCACGATGTCACTGCTCCCGGTGGGTGGGTGTTTGGTTTGACCTGTCGTTACCTCTGACGGGTGTCACGATGTCACTGCTCCCGGTGGGTGGGTGTTTGGTTTGACCTGTCGTGACCTCCGGTGGGTGTCACGATATCACTGCTCCCGGTGGGTGGGTGTTTGGTTTGACCTGTCGTGACCTCCGGCGGGTGTCACGATGTTACTGCTCCCGGTGGGTGGGTGTGTAGTTTGACCTGTCGTGACCTCCCGCAGGTGTCCCGGCGATGGCCGCTGATGATAGACCCCCAGGGTCAGGCCAACAAGTGGATCAAGAACAACGAACGCGACAACAAGATGGCTGTCGTCAAGCTGTCGGACTCGGACTTCAGCCGCGCCCTGGAGAACGCCATTCAGTTTGGCAACCCGATCCTGCTGGAGAACGTGGCGGAGGAGCTGGACCCGTCGCTGGAGCCGCTGCTGCTGCGCCAGACCTTCAAGCAGGGCGGCGTCGAGATGATCAAGCTGGGCGAGGCGATCATCGAGTACTCGCCCGACTTCAGGTGGGTCGGTGTCGGCGTCTGGATCGTGCCGAGCGCATCGGACCGGAGTCGTCGGCACGAGCCGTCGCGGCTCACAGCCGGCGAGACGGAGGCGCGGTGTTTCGGTGTTGGCGCGGCCAGGTGGTGGGCATTAGCGACCGTAGCTTAGCGTGGGTCATTGCACGTGCCGGCTATTGAAGCTGATTGGTGCCGCCGACCTCATGGGCCACAGTGAAGTGTTCCCTGTCAGATCTGGTCGTGGCGTGACACTGCCCGGAACAGGTGAAGACCCCGACTGGGCGCGCGCCGGCAGGTTCTTCATCACGACGAAGCTGCGCAACCCGCACTACCTGCCCGAGATATCGACCAAGGTGACGCTGCTCAACTTCATGATCACGCCCGAGGGACTCGAGGACCAGCTGCTCGGCATTGTGGTGGCTAAGGAGCGGTACGTGCCGGCGGCGGTGGCAGTGGCAGCGCTGGGCAAGGGCGACGCCGGTAGCGCGGCCGCCGTAGGTGGTCCCACATTCCCCGCTGACATGGGCCTAGGCGGTTTGGTTCACTGTCGGGCTGTGAGAGCAACTGCTCACTGTTCGCGTGGCGTGGCCGGGCTTGGTCCCATCGCTACGGCGTGTCTGGGCATGGTCCGTGGTCCGCTGCGTCCGTCCTGCGTCCCCTCCGAACCAGTCGCGCCGTCCGGTCTTTGCTCCATGAGCCGGTGTATAAGTTTGAAAACTGGAGCGGGCGTGGTGCTTGGGCCGGCTTAGCACTCACTGCTCCAAATTCCAGCGCGCCAAAGCGAAAGCAAACAAACTGCTTTCTTTGAGGGGTTCGTTGCCGCCCAGGAACCGGTCTGGCGCCCGACCCTTGTTTGGTAATGTCTTCTCGACGTCTGATGGGATATTGATCGGTTTACGACGATCACCGTAGTTGACCTCGAGAAGCTCTCGTCGTCTTTGGTATGCCGGGTGCTAGTCTGTGTGAGGTGACTAAGTTTGCATTTTGCACCGTTCACAAAGGTGTTCACTGCTGCAATGTGGACATGTGATAATTTTTCAAACATTTCTGCAGGATTTTGCATGATGTTAAGTGACTTCAGTCCATTATTCGATAGGTGAAATGCGTGAACTGAACAGAAATGCTCAGCATTCTTGGATGCGCGCTGAAAACAATCAGCTTACGCCGCTTGAAACCTTCACAATTTTCAAAACGTTCGGAGAATGCTGTCGGTGGCGGTGAGACTGTTGATCGGCCGTCCGCCAGCCCTGAGCTGGAGGCCGAGCGCCAGGCCCTGATCGTGCAGACGGCCAACAACAACCGCGCCCTGAAGGAGGTCGAGGACAAGATCCTGCACACGCTCTCCCAGTCAGAGGGCAACATTCTGGAGGACGAAACTGCCATCCAAGTCCTCGACTCGTCCAAGGTCAGGCGTCAGCGTAGGTCGGGCCGGCACCGCTGCCGGCCTCGGAGCGGTGCCATTCCGACACGGTGCCGCTCATTTCACGTGCCATTCCGCGTCGCCCCGTCCTCCGCCGGGGGCGCGCTGCGGTCCATGAGCCGCGCCGTTGCTGGCGAACCAGGAGCGTGTGAGCTCGGGCTAGAGGGAGCGGTCGCAGCCCGCCGGCTCACGGCAGCAGACGATGTCGCGCCACCCCGCTGGCTGCGATCGCGCCGTGACGCCTTCATAGCCTGGCATAGTTTGCGTGGCATTGCGCTTGGTACCTTGCTGTGCTGTCCTAAGTAAAAATGCCTCGGTCTGCGGGTTTTTATAGATTGAAATCAGCGCTCTCTGGGTGTGTATTAGAATTTGTCTGTGTTTTGTGCGTCAATTGTTGTTACCAGACTGTGGCACAATAACCTCTTACTGAGCAGCGAGTCCTTGGCTACCCCAGGCCGCGCTGACTCATCCTTACGTGTTCTAAGCGTCGCTGCAGCCGTCCAACACAGCCCTGTGCCACGCTGACGAAGCCGTCTTTCTGTACCCTGCCCCAGGCCATCTCTGACGAGATCAACAAGAAACAGGTGGTGGCAAAGAAGACGGAGAAGACGATCGAGGTGTCGCGCCTGGAGTACCGGCCGATGGCCAGCCACTCGTCCGTCCTCTTCTTCTCCATCACGGATCTGCCCAACATCGACCCCATGTACCAGTACAGCCTTTCGTGGTTCGTCAACCTCTACGTGAACAGCATCGAGAGCAGGTGAGACGCCGCCGGGTTACGGGGGCGGTGTCGCTGCCGGCGGGCTAGGGATCATGTCCAGTGGCGTGGATAAAAGCCCGTTTTGTTTAGTCGTTGCATTTGACCTCTTTGGTTGAAGGAGAATGTTGGTCTCAATATCAGCGCGGACTCTAGACAGAACACGCGCATAGTCCACGCGGGTAAAGAGCGAACAGAGATGCGATTGGCCGCCAAATGAAATAGGTTTTATGCCGTCCCTTTTGGGGCATGAAGTACGTCAGTCACATGAGTTTCGTCATGCTTAGACGTATTAGGCAAGCATTGAGCGTGCGAGCCGCTATGACAGTTGATCACTGTCAATGAAGCTGGGTTGTCCGGGCCGCTAGCGCCTGCCAGGTTCGAGGCACAGTATGTTTGACGGTTACAGGGACAGGAAAACAATTGAGATGTAGTCGATAGGTCAAGAGGTCAATGAATTTAAAAGCTTGAGGGGGTAGAAGAGATTGCTCAGAATAAAACGTTTTGACGGCCTAAATGGTTGTTTTAATAGAGCTTTGTGTGGCGGTTCAAGTAAAGAATGAGAGGCTGCAGTGGATGTTTTAAGTGTAATATGCAGTACGCGGATAATTAAGTAAACATAGAAGCGCTGTGCACATGTAGGCGCGCACATAAGTGAACATGTAGGAAGAAGAGCCAAGCTCAGGTGCAAAGTTTCAGTACATGTATGACGTTTAAATGTTAGGGTGACTGATGCCAAGGGCCAGGGGTGACTCGTCTATTCATTTGCATGCATTGTACTTGCTTAGTATGAATGTAACTACAGAGACATAAAACTACATCAGATTTCGCTTTAAATGCAAATTCTCGCGCATCGATTTAGCATACGCCACCTCATTCAGGTCGTAAAGGAAGCCTCGAAAACTGCGTGTGTAGTTAGCGTGATAAAAGCTTGATGCTTTATGTGGGAGTGGGTGAAGGCGGCCATCGCTGGTCTTCACCTTACTGCCGTGAAGGCGGCCATCTGCTGGTCTTCACCTTACTGCCGTGAAGGCGGCCATCTACTGGTCTTCACCTTACTGTCGTGCATTGCATCTAAGCGGCATGTGGCGTGATCAGCTGCGTTGAAGGTTTGGTGGCGTATTGGTGGCTTGGTCAAACAAGAGAATGTCACTTATACGTCTCGCCGGCCTATCCAGGAGTGACTGATTCACTGGCTGTGGCTTACGCTGAGCCCCCGCGGGAGTGGTCGGCCCACCAGCAGCAGTCCATGCCGGCCTCGTCCGTGCGTGGCTGGTGCTTGTGAGCCACGGCTCGTGTAGGCCGGTCGAGCCCCAGTCGAGCGCGTCCGTCGCGCGCCCGCTTGGGGCGGCGTAGCACCTCGGGGCGCGACGCGGGCACGTCCAGGAGGCGGCCGCGGCCCGTGCGCTCCGCCGAACTAGCAGCAGCGCTTCATGACGATGCAGTCGACCACCTCGGCCAGCGTCAGCAGCGAGCCTCCGACCAGCAGGCCGACGTAGCCGCCCACGTCAGAGAAGAGCGAGGCGAGCGTGTAGTCCCACTGCTCGCGCATGTGGTACATGGTGTGACTCATGCGCATGGTGAGCAGGGCGCGGATGCCGCTGGCCAGGTGGCCCGGGTAGCGGGTCGCCATCGGCGACACGCTCATGTCCAGCCGAGAGAGGCTCAGCGGGGTGTAGGCCTCCACGTCGCAGGGGTCGCGGCACTGATGGCACGCCAGCAGCTCCTGCAGCATGTCGAACTCGGAGCACGAGTTGTTCAGGAAGCAGCGAGCTTCTCGCGAGCTGGCCAAGAACTGTTGGTAGGAGGTGCAGCCGGCTCCGCCGCGACGCTGGACGACCCACGGCGGGGAGCACACCTCTGCACTGGTGTTCAGTCCCGTCTGCGTGCGCTCATGCAGACAGTCCTTATAGCAGCCGACAACTTCGCTGGCGGTCACCCGGCTGCTCGAGCAGGGCGCGTGTGGGAGGTCGAGGTGCGTGCTCTGCTCCTTCTGGAAGAGGACGTCGGTGTGGCAGCCCCGCGGCACCTCCAGCAGGGTGACCAGGCCCTGGACGGCGGCCACGTCGCTGAACGGCAGGTGGCGCGGATGCAGCGCCACCACCCAGCCCGGGTGCTCGCGCGCTACCACCGTCGGGTCCGACTCCCACATCGAGATGATCAGATGCGGTTTCAGGAACGTGCGCAACACGCTGCCGCGAGGCGTGAACGTGTGACACCACCCGAAGCGTCGCGAGTAGACCGCCGATACCAGCCCCGCCTCGGAACAGTTCTGCCGGAGCATCCAGCAGCCGCTGACCATCTCCCCCCAGCTGTAGGAGCCGCTGCTGACCAACTGCTCCAGGTCAAACTCCTCCCAGCGGAACAGTTCCAGACCGCGGTCGTACCACTCCCTGAGTGTCGTGTTGGGCCGCGTCATATTGAGCACGACGCTCTTCTTCAGACCGTCGGCGTGGCAGATGGTGAAGGACGGGAAGTCCAGCTCCGTCGATGACGTGCCGTTCCACACGCGCCTGATTTTGGGGCTCGTGTAGCGGGAGAAGCTCTCGCATACGCCCGCGGTGAGGCCGAGCAGGGCGACGGTGAGCAGCAGCAGCCAGATGATCCTGCGCGCCCAGGGTGAACGCCTGTCTTCGATGATGGCCACGCCGGCCAGACTCACCTGTCCGGGACGGGCGCCGGTCGGTGCTGCTGTCTCTCTGGCGTGCACCCTGGCGACAGCCAGAGGCGCGGCTGAGCGATGGCCGGTACACCTCGGCATCATGGACTTTGTGTGATAAACACTTGGGTGGCGGGCGAAGATGCTCTGCTCACTAAATCTGTTCTCGTGAACTTGCTTTGAGAAATGTAAGCTCTCGCGCCGTTTTTAGTTGTGTTTTTTATGTAATAAGATAGTACCACCATGCTCCCCTTCATACTTTTTTCAAGCCCAAACTTGAAAATCTCACAAGAGGGTTCTAAGGCTTGTGGATAAAATTTGTGCATTTCTCGGCATAGTCCCAGCAGCACACGGAAAATCCAAAGAAAACGTAATATTTAACATGACATGTTCCGTGTTTGAAGCGTGACTAAAATGCCACGCCACGTTGTTTCTTCCTTACTTCAAGCGTAACAAAGGTAAATTTTAGCAATTCAGGTAGATTTATTTAAGCAATATCAAATTTAGCAATATTAAAGTTCACAGTTTACTGGAGCTTCCAATTGAAGAAAAAATGCCATAGTAAGTGTTGTGTACACAAGAGTGTGACATAAACGCGAGTGCAACTCTGGGACCACCCGTTGGTAGAATTTCAGCTGTGATGGTTTTGTAGTTATTACGTTGTGACTGAAAGGATAAGGCTTTAACATTATATTGTGTATTGTTTGACGGGGTTCTACGGGTATCACGGCTACAACAAATAGGGGCTTCAGTGCCGTGTTTTTGTCATTTTGTGGACCGCACAGAGGTCACCTGAGTTTTCCTTTTTGGATGAATTGCCGAGTTGGCTCTTGCGAGCAGACCCTTTGCATGTCATGATAGCAGGCTATGTCGGAATTGGAGCAAACCATAGATGTAGATGATAGCTCCGAGCTAACCCCTTTGAGTGAACAATCCAGGCAAGCCCCACTCGGACGCCCTGTACTTAAGCCTGAAGTGAACTCTTGAATGACGTCTGAGGGACGGTAAGCTCTCGTGATTCCTAGCAGATCTGAAGTCACCAGCCATGGGCGCTGCGTTACATGGACTGAAGTACTTGATTGTGGCATAGTTTTATAGGCATAACCTCCGTGGCATTGAAGACGGATGACCGTCTGGCCAGAGCGTTCGACGGATCTTGGATCGCATCGATACGCTTAAGCAGGGTGTTTCATGGCTGCTCAGCCCATAATTTTGGGTAGATGATGTTCTCGATATCAGACTGATCGCCTCATAAATGCAGCTGAGATGAAGGTTCTGCCTTTTGGCGGCGACGGTGATGGAAGGGGCCATGGTCCTGCTACTGACTCTCCTCGGCGCTAGTGGCCCACCTTGAATCATACGTTCAAACATTATCAAGATAGGAATCTTCAAGGCAATGGCATGACGGCTGAGCACGCAGCTACAGTGGTTAACGGGCTTGGCCAGGTGCAGATTTGGGAAAATTGTGACCGTTGGTAGGACTTTAAGTATGCATAGGGTAGATACTGCAAGAAATGTCACACAGCATTACTGCTAGTGCGTCGTGTGGTAATGCTAGGTCCAACCACACTACGTTTGCAGTTGCTGATACAGCCAGTTCAAAAACGAAAACGAGCAAACGTATATATATATATATATATATATATATATATATATATATATATATATATAAGTAAACGTGTGTGCGTGTGTGCGTGCGTGCGTGCGTGCGTGCGTGCGTGCGTGCGTGCGTGCGTGCGTGCGTGCGTGCGTGCGTGCGTGCGTGCGTGCGTGCGTGCGTGCGTGCGTGTGTGTGTGTGTGTGTGTGTGTGCGTGCGTGCGTGCGTGCGTGCGTGCGTGCGTGCGTGCGTGCGTGTGTGTGCTCGTCAGTTTTTTAAGTTATTTCGAATGGTTTGCATGGGTGACTTCAGGTTCAGGATACCCGCAAAACATACCTTGTTCCGTGTACACCGAACCCACCATCCAAGTCGTGCCGTCCAGTTCAACGGATAATTTTGTCTCCGCCCTTTTGCCAGACAGGAATGCGGAGGTTTTTACGTGCCGCACAATTTTGCGGCACGGCCTCCACGGGCCTGGGTTAACCCTCGTTGGCCAGTTGCCAGCTGACCTTTCCATTTCAGTCGGGTCAGTGCGCCCACTCTGGGACTCGTAACCAGTGCGCTGGATTACGAGTCCAGCATCTTTCCCCTAGACGAGAATCCATCATACTAGAACTAAAGTTTGAGAAAAAGTTCATAGGTGGGCGGTTAGCGGGCGGGCACAACTGATTAGGAGTACGAACTGAAAGGTAATGGCAGGGTATGGCCTCAGCCAGTAGATCGGGTAGAGGAATTCTACCCGGAACGCCTTAAGTCGCGATGTCTTGGACAGCACGTTGAAAGGAGTGAACTTTTACCGGTCCCGGTCTTCACAAGACTTTGGGGTGACACCCATGACCTTCCATCGTTTTGTCCCGCCGACGGACGGCTACGGACACGGGAACTGGCGTGCTCGACATGTAGACGCTTCGGAACGACAGAGGCACTGCGGCCCACAACAGGCGGACACGCTAGGTCAATCATGGTGACTAGCAGCCAATCACGCCCGAGTGAACAGGTGCTGCACTCCGACACATAACACTTGTAGATGAAAAAGTAGGCCCGCCGACCAGCCGTCAGAGAAAGAGGCGGGAAGGACGACCGCGTGCAGGACACGACCGCTAGCGACGAGTGAGGAACATTCAGCTACGTCATTTACAGATTCCGCCACCGTTCTTCAACAGACTTACTGTGCAACCATTGTCGTCTCCAAACAAAGCGCAGGCGTGCCGCCTCGCGAGGGCCGCGCGTCAGGCGGCGGGCGGAGGCTGCCCCGGTTCCCAGCAGCGCGTGCGTCCTGCGCCGCGCGGCGACCGGAGCTGGCTCGTCCAGCGCGCGACGTTTCACCCGCATATCGCCCCCGCCCTATTGATCTCTAACGCAAATAAGCGGCATCGTTGCGTTGGAGGCGCTTGTGGTCGTGAATGCACCCCGATGATTTGGGTGGCAAGTTCGACCCACCGCCAGTAGTTCCGAGTCATGCATTGGTGTCACCAGTGGTGTTTGCTCATTGTGAATAATGAACCTGCGGTTTGATGGACCGCGTGGTGTGAGTGGCAGTGGTGGCATAGTGACAGAAATGTATGCTTTTCGTTCGATTACCATGTTTGCCCCTGAATCACATGCACTTACGACGCCCCCACAGATCGCTCTGAACAGCCGATCGCTTTGCTGCTATAGCCAAGGCCTTTACGGCTGGTTACACTATGCTGCACAATTCATTACGTTCGTAATGGTCTCCAGGGACTGCATGAACTTCTCATGAGGAGCTCATGACCTCTTTTCTGCATAGGTTCGTAGCCTTGCCACTGAACAAATGCCCATTACTGAGCAAATAAAGGTTGCCGAAAGCGGTGTGTGTACTCTATATACAGGCGTGTATGGCATTGCGGCATCAATGAAATGCAACGAACATTTCCGCGAAGAGAAGCATACGCCCAGTACCGTGTCATTGGACACATGTGTGCATTTAGATCTTGCAAGCATTACCTTGCTTTGAAACCTTGTAGTTCCATACCGTGGAGGTCATGTGTGCGATGAGCAACTGCGTCTCTCTTACAGCAACAAGTCCAAGAACTTGGAGAAACGCTTGCGCCACCTTCGAGATCATTTCACCTACAACTTGTACTGCAACGTTTGTCGCTCACTCTTCGAGAAGGACAAGCTTCTCTTCTCTTTCATTCTCTGCTGCAATCTTCTCATGTAAGTTGCGTTTGATGGTTTCTTGCAGGCTCAGCCTGAGCTCTGTAGACGTTGGTGGCACCGATTATTGTGCACGGGTCACGGGGAGGGGGCACCACGGTGACCCCTTTGCAAGGGATTCGTAGGGCGGCATTCGTGCAAGCCCTAACGACCGTAGTGACAACCCCGCTGACGGCTAAGTGCTTGTTTTGTGAACCCATCAACGTTAATTAGCCATGCCGATGTGGTAGAAGTCTTGTCAGACGTATGCACGCTTCTGGCATGAGCTTATGGAAACAAAGTCCTGCGGTAGCGAGAAGCCTTATAGATGAAGTTTACTTCTGTCCCTGAACGCCACCTGAACTCTCGCACCCCAAGCCCTGTCCCAACGCGATAGCGGAACCCCGCCCGAGACTGGCATGCACACTTCGGTCCCTGATGCGCGGAACCCAGCTCGAAATCGGCTGTCTTCGTCCCACTGGGTCCCGCTCGTGACTGACTGTGCCCGGGTGACCGTTCCACTGAGCCCCGCTTGTGACTGTGCTGTGTCCCGGTGACCGTTCCACTGGGTCCCGCTCGTGACTGACTGTGCCTCGTTGACCGTTCCACTCAGTCCCGCTCGTGACTGACTGTGCCTCGTTGACCGTTCCACTCAGTCCCGCTCGTGACTGACTGTGCCCGGGTGACCGTTCCACTGAGCCCCGCTCGTGACTGACTGTACCTCGTTGACCGTTCCACTCAGTCCCGCTCGTGACTGACTGTGCCTGGGTGACTGTTCCACTGAGCCCCGCTCGTGACTGACTGTGCCTCGTTGACCGTTCCACTCAGTCCCGCTCGTGACTGACTGTGCCTGGGTGTCCGTTCCACTGAGCCCCGCTCGTGACTGACTGTGCCTCGTTGACCGTTCCACTGAGCCCCGCTCGTGACTGACTGTGCCCGGGTGACCGTTCCACTGAGCCCCGCTCGTGACTGACTGTGCCCGAGTGACCGTTCCACTCAGTCCCGCTCGTGGCTGACTGTGCTCGTGACTGTTCCACTGAGCCCCGCTCGTGACTGACTGTGCCAGAGTGACCGTTCCGCTGGACCTTGCTTACTATTGCCGCGTCGTTCTCTCTTCTTCACTGAGCCCAGCGCTGAAGACTGCCGTACCACAGCCTCCTCTGCTGCCGCCCGTGACTGACCGTGCCCGCTCCACGGAGCTCCCCCTGCCACTGCGATAGCTCGTTCCCTGCTCTACCGAGTCCCACCCGTGTCTGCAGCGCGCCGGCCGCTGTGCCGCCTAGCCCGCCCGTCGGTGCCCGCCTGCCGTGTGCCTGATAGTCATGTCGCCGCAGGGTCCAGGGCAAGATCGACTCCAAGGAGTCGACGTTCCTGCTGACGGGAGGTGTTGGCCTGGACAACCCGCTGCCCAACCCGGCCCCCGAGTGGCTCAACGACAAGTCCTGGGACGAGATATGTCGTCTCACCGAGGTCCCCGCCTTCAAAGGTGCCGCTCGCTCGGTCGGTCACGCGCGCCTCCTCCTGGTGGGGGGGGGGGGGGGGGAGAGGGGAGGCGGCGGCCGACCAATGCCACGTGATACCGCGCCTCCAGCTGGGCCTGTGTCGAGCTGCGGAGGGACCGGCCAGTGGACCTACTGAGGTGTCAGCAGCGTCCCGAAGCCACCGTTTGGCGCGGAAGCCTCACACGCGCGGCAGGCGGGGCCGCCTGGACAGCCGCCGGCACCCGGCGGCAGAGGGCGGCTGTGCGCACCGTACACGGACTCCTCGCCGTTGGGTCCCGCCGGGCTGACTGTGGGCAGCACGGTGGCATTCAGACCGCTGCCCGCGGCGCTCAAGCGGCGTTTGTATGTGCCTAGGTGGATGCGGGTTGGTTACGTACCGTTTGTGCATGGCTGCACCTGCATGCGAATTGTAGCACTGCATTTCATCGAAGTGCTGTGTAATTGGGTCACGTATATTCTGGGCGTCGTTTGGGTGGTTGGATACATTATATATGCTTGGTAGTAGCTCTGAGCTCATCATAATTTTCATGTAGATCCAACAGTTTGTCTAACATTGTAAGAGGCCAAAGCTTGGTTGCTGCGCCTGTTTCTGGTTGCGTTTGTGTCGCTACATGCGACTTACACCAACCACGTACCACTGAACAAAGTCAGTACCCCGCGCGGCGCCGGTCTGCGGGTTTCACACTGTATCCTTTGAGTGTCTTGGTTCGATCGCGCGGAACGGTGCGCCGATACACCGTCCTAACGCGGATATGCCTGCGATGCGTCTCGTGCAGACTTCCTGCCCAGCTTCAAGGCGACTCTGGCCGAGTGGCAGGAGGTCTACAACAGCAAGGAGCCGCACAACATGCAGCTGCCCGAGCCTTGGCACTCGAACACCACCGAGTTCCAGAAGATGATGCTCATACGTTGCGTCCGGCCCGACAAGGCACGTCGGGCATCCCGAGCTGACACACGAATGCATACGGTGGTGCTGAAAAGGGTTTGGCACGATATAGACCGTTTGTGTGCTGAGGAAAAACTATCTCATCTCAGACTCGGTTTTTGTGACATGCTCTGGTGTTGGGCTAACTAATCTTACAAAATTTTCGATGACATTACGCATGAACATATTTTGAATTTCAGCGGTGTGCAATAGCCAGCTATCGTATTGTCAGGTCGCACCCATATCAAAAATGGCATGGTCCGGGGTTTGCCGCAGCGTGCCCTGGCGCGCGGCGCGCGGGTGAGCACTCTCGCACGTCCAGTCGCAGAAACGTGGAACAGTATGAGGTCGAATGTTTGCAAGATTCAGTTGGTGGCTGATTCGCCTAGTTTGTCATGCCGTTGGGCGAAATGCACAGTGTTCCCTGTAGCCTCCTGCGGACGAGAATCGAAGTTGAAGTGTGCTCAAGTCCAATGTACACGAGTCTCCTCCGGCTGCCTGTGGGCGCCGGACTGTTCGGACACTGTCTCACCCGTCGCCCTTCCGACACCTGATTATCGTTACCCGCTGCCGCTCCAGATCGTGCCCATGGTGACCAATTTCGTAGCCAACAACATCGGCCAGAAGTTTGTGTCGCCGCCGCCTTTCGACCTGGCCAAGTCTTACGCGGACTCCAACTGTCTGGTGCCGCTCATCTTCGTGCTGTCGCCGGGCGCCGACCCGATGGCGGCGCTGCTCAAGTTCGCCGAGGACCGCGGCTACGGCGGTGCCAAGTTTAACGCCATCTCGCTCGGCCAGGGCCAGGTTAGGACGAGCGGCTGGGGAGGCAGGGCTGGAGAGGGTGTCATTAGTCGATAGTGCAGAGGACAGGATTGGAGAGGGGGTCATCAGCCGGTGGTGGGGGGGGGGGGCAGGGATGGAGAGGGGGTCATCAGCCAGTGGTGGAGGGGCAGGGGTGGAGAGGGGGTGTCAGCCAGTGGTGGAGGGGCAGGATTGGGGGGAGGAGGTTGTCAGCCGATGGTGAAGGGGGCAGGGTTGGGGAGGGGGTTATCAGCCGGAGGTGGAGGGGCAGGGATGGAGAGGAGGCCATCAGCCAGTGATGGAGGGAGAGAGTTGGGAAGGAGTCATCAGCCGGTGGTGGAGGGGCGGGGAGTGCCCCTGGGTTCAGCAGTGGGAAGTGGAGAGGGAATGGCGAGGCCGGGGGTGGTAGGGTCAGCATTACGATGCAGATTGGGCTGCGTTATGCTCGCGATGTTTGAGAAACAGACTTGGGTCAGGCGGAGACACGCCAGAGACAATAAATATGGTCACTCATCCGGAGGCCAGGAGACCAAGCGCAGAACATGAACGCTGCGAGGATGTGGTGAGTAAGCCGTGATAACCAAGAAGGGCGTGGCTAGTCGGCGCATGCCCAGACACCCTGCCTGCCAACGGTGGATTGGCCGGTGGCCGGGCTACGTTCACCACCACGCTCATGATAGGCGCGGTGGACTCGGCGTCCGCTCCCCGTCGACACCTCGCCCACGCGGAGTATCGCTCTCCACCAGGGGCCGGTGGCGCACGAGATGATCTGCAAGGCACAGGAGGAGGGCACGTGGGTGGCGCTGCAAAACTGCCACCTGGCCGTCTCCTGGATGCCCACCTTGGAGAAGATCTGCGAAGACTTCAACATGGAGGACACCAACCCCACCTTCCGGCTTTGGCTCACCAGCTACCCCAGCCCCAAGGTTAGCAGCTTCGGTGGCCGTGACCGCCGCCTGAGGCGCGCGCCGTCACTCGGACCTGCACCACTGCCACCGGTCCACATGGATGGCAGACCTAGATGCAAGACCGGTCCCCATATGCACACACTGCCGTTTCAACGCTCCACGTGCCAAGGCTTTGCAGCGAAATATTATCAGTTGTGGTCTTTAATTTTTTATTCTCACATCCGTCGTCTTCTAGAGCAAACTTGTCGGTCAAATTATGCCAGATTATGATCTGCGTGTGTACATTCCACGGGTTTTTGGCAGCCTGTAGTGAATTGCTGTTTGAATTAAGCTGGCATTTGATTTCAATGTAGTAGTTATCCGTAGCCAAAGTCATAGAAACACCAGCCGATTACACAGCGTCAGCTGTACAACTGACGTGAAGCCCCCCAGCATGGGCCTTGTGGGACGGCGCGCGTCGGCAGCCCGCTCCTTATAATTAGCACATGTCATGTAGTAACCATCTCGCAGCCAATTGTTTAACCTTAGCATAAGGTTTGTTTTTTTGAAATGTCAAAGAAAGTATTACCAGGTTTTAGAAATAGTTTGGAAATTGGAACAGCCACGTAAGTTGACTTTACTAAAACGTCTTCTCTTCCATGTTCTGTTGTTTACCATGTCAAAAGTGTTCAGCTGGCGTTAGTTCCCATGACAATGAGGAATGACGACTCCTTATTCGAAATCAATGGACTAGTGTTTGCTTTTTACATCTATCGACGCATGGCAATGTCATTAGCGCGTTCCCGCTCCAAGCGGCCATATAGTCCAGCTTGGACTTAGGGATGGTCCAGCGAAAGCTCCCTGCGGATATCTCAGGTCATAAGCTAACCTGTCGTGACCTGCACTCTGCGGTACTCTACAATGACATCATTCGCAACAATGCTATTTGTGGGAAGGGCGGGATCTAGAGGATTTAGTGACACGGCTTTTGCCGTGGTTTGGTTTCCAGTCATGCTTGCTTCGATCTGTTCGATTCACAGGCAAGGTTGGGCTATTTAAGTAGCTCTGCGTGCGTGCCGGTTATATTTATTTACACTCTTGACCTCAGGGGAACACGGCCGCCGGTGGGGGTCAGTTACCCCGTAATTGAGGCGCTCTAAACTGCTTAGCACACTATCATTGTTGCGTCCTTAAGGTATCGGAACAAGCTAAAGTCAAGTTGAGTATGTACGTAGAAAGTTGTGGCATTTTTCCTGACTCATTGGGCGTGGTTTCCTCAGGGTGTTCTCACTTGTTGTAATCCTCCGCGGCGCTTAGCCTATAGATTAGGCTTATGGGAGGTTAGTGGACGGTAAAGATGTCTTCGCGGAAGTGATGTTTGCTGTTTTAGACTTTATGCCTACGGCCAAATACAGATCGCAAAGGCACGATATTTTATTTCCGTGGTACTTGGTAGGGTGGAAAGTTGTTCCCTGGGATCAAGCTTTTGGTCCATTTCAGGAAAGTAAAACGGGATATGCATGAACGTTAGTTCTCCACGCTTGTCGTTCTTATCGGCAGGTAGATCACACAGCTAACTAACATCGGCTGGTAGTCCAGTGGCCAATTACCTTCGCGTACATGCGTCGGGGGCGATAAGATTTTGACGTTGGTGGCGGTCGTGTTGCCAGGCCAGAGTAAGCGTCCTGTGGTCGGATGTGGGCCGGCAGCGTGGCGCGTGCGCCGAGCGCTGACGTCCTGCTGGCGTGCCGCAGTTTCCAGTGACGGTGCTGCAGAACGGCGTCAAGATGACCAACGAGCCGCCCACCGGGCTGCGCATGAACCTGTTGCAGTCCTACCTGGGCAACCCCATCAACGACGAGGCTTTCTATTCGGGCTGCCCCGGAAAGGAGGTGATCTTCTCAAAACTTCTCTTCGGTTAGTGTCTGGGCTGGTAGTGTCGGAGGGAAGCGCTGTGAATATCGGTTGTTTTCAATCATTCATGTGCATATAATTCTGTGACATGTTCGGCTCATCAGCTGTATGCGTAGGAAAAGGTGTTTTGTTTGAAATGCAAAAGGGCTGGAGCCGGCTATTTTATTTTGTTTGCAGATGTGGAAACTTATGGCGTCCCCATATTCGTAAGGTCACCTTCCGTCTAGCTAGCCCTGTTTTTGGGGAGTGTGGGTGTCGATCGCCCGCTCTTTACGCTGAAATATGTGTTTGCAAAGCCTGGGCTTCAACCGTAGAATTATTCGGAGGCCCAGGCGGGATGGCAGTATGGTCATTGTACGTCCGCCGCTGTGCAAATGGTACTACGTCCGCGTTCGACACTTGGTAAGGCGTTCAGCTGCTTCTCAACGTCACAGTGTTATGTTAGTCATGAAACAAGTGTCAGTAGCCTCCACCATATTAAGAGATTTGAAACAAGGTCAAGTTTTGTTTAAATTTTCGGGCGCGGTCCATGGTCGCGTTCAAAACGCAGAACAGAAGACGTCACCAGGACACACCAGAGTGAACAAATACACAAATGCTACAATATCCACACGCGACAAACTATACAAAAAAGCTTTGCAGTTTACACAAACTCACCTGAAAAATATGAGAACCATGTGACAGCTAAAAACTAAAGATCACAAGTTACGTGCTTGGTTACCTATACAAAAAGTTAACATGTTTACGCTTACAAGATGCAAGATTAAGGCTACCTTTACGAGATGCGTTCCTGGATGCGAACACTTGTTTCATGACTAACTGACTAGTGTGCATTACCTTTGCACCGCGCTGAAGAGAACAACGCTTAAGACAATTTTCTATTTGCTTTCTAATTGATTGGAGATCTTCTGTGGAACCAATCGCTCGAGCCGAAAAGTAATTCACAAACAGCTTGACTGTTCCGCGATAAACGTGTCTTTTGAAAGATATGTGCTCATGGATGATGTGGAAAATGAGTGGCCCATGTGACTCGGCCGAGTCTTCTCGTAGTCATTAAAAGGCGCCGAGTTCTGTTCCCGATCGCCACTTATCCCGTTTCTTCCAGCACACCGTCAGCACCAAAGCTGCGATGATAATGCCACCAGTTTTACGCTTCGGTAAGCAGTTGATCGCGTTGTGCGCTTAGTGAACACATCATCGCACGTGGTGTCGTGCGCCACATATGGTGGGCAAGGCGGTGAAGGGGACCGGCGGTGGTGCCGAGCGCCACCTATGGTGAGCACAGCGGCGCAGGGGACCGGCGGTGGAGCCGAGCGCCACCTATGGTCGTCACACCGGCGCAGGGGACCGGCGGTGGTGCCGAGCGCCACTTGTGGTGGGCACAGCAGCGCAGGGGACCGGCGGTGGTGCCGAGCGCCACTTATGGTGAGCACAGCGGCGCAGGGACCGGCGGTGGTGCCGAGCACCACTTATGGTGGGCACAGCGGCGCAGGGGACCGGCGGTGGCGCCGAGCGCCACCTATGGTGGTGGATGCAGTGGCGCAGGGGGCCGGTGACGAGTGGATGAGGCGCGCGTCCGGTGTCGGCGGCCGCTGTCACCGATCTCGTCGCCGGCAGGGCTGTGCTTCTTCCACGCTCTGGTGCAGGAGCGGCGCAAGTTCGGTGCACAGGGATGGAACATCCCATACGGCTTCAACGAGTCCGACTTGCGCATCTCGGCCATGCAGCTGCAGGTCAGAACACGACCCCCGAGACCGCCGAAGCGCGGTCAGGGCTCAACCCTTGAGGCTGCCGGGGTTGGTGCTCGGGTCCTGGAACTGCCGGGGTCAGGACATGGTCCCGGGGACTGTCGGGGTCAGGACACGGCACCTGACACCGCTGGGACGGCTCTTGGTAGTCGTCCATAACGGCAGTAGTGCCCTGTATTTACGGGAAGCGCGTCTGTATGCGGTGCCCACCTCAGACTTATGTGTCGGATGTCGGAACCAGCGGGCAGTCTGCGCGGGCTTTTAGGCGTCAGATGTCAGCCGTGGTGGTTCCGCTTGGCTTGCTTAGCGCAGTGTCTAGTTGCGGGCTGTGGTGTCTAGTTTCCGCCGTCTCTGGACAGCGTTCAACGTGAAAACGAAAATTCCCAGCAAGCCGTGGCTACACTGGCAATAGACCGATCGCGTCAGTCAGATATTTCGCACGTCTCTGCGTGCCGCCCGGACCGTACGCCTCCCCCGTCGCCACGGCTCCGGCACTTCCTCACACGCGTGACGCGGGGCGTCGTCTCCGCCAGATGTTCATCAACGAGTACGACGCGGTGCCGTACGCGGCGCTCAAGTATCTAACGGGAGAGTGCAACTACGGCGGCCGCGTGACCGAGGACTGGGACCGGCGCACGCTCAACACCGTGCTCGCCGACTTCTGCAACGCGCGGCTCGTCTCGGAGAGCAAGTACAAACTGTCACCGTCCGGCAACTACTTCGTGCCCAACAAGATCAACTACGACGACTACGTGGAGTATATTAAGGTCAGTGATGGACAGACCGATGTAAGCAGCGCCTCCGTCTTCGCTGCTCTCTAACTGCGCTCCGTTATCTGGTCTGAGCAATGTGCAAATCTCAGAGCGCGGCGATATTTTATTTCTTGCTGGTGAGTTCTTCCGTTCGCCAATAAACCGCGCCGTTGTATGCCCTTGCCAGGCTGAAGGAGACGAGTACAGCGGCTTCTGTTGCTGGGATAGTCCAGGTTGTTTTGCGTTTATGCCGTGATTTTACGCGACAGTTCTGTAGACAGTTGTCCATGGTCCGTCCAAGTCGTAGCCGACAGCCTGTCTGCTGCATTCCTCGGTGAACCCGCGAATATGTCTCAAAATCAAATCGAGCACCCTCTGGCCGTGCTGCAAGGCCGGTACCCAACGGTCTGACAGCCGCTGTCATGCCTGACATCTTCGGCCCAACCCCGCCGACCTCACGGCCGCTGCCTTGTCCGACGTCGCCTCTGGCCGTGCCGCAGAGCCTGCCGACCACACAGCTGCCTGAGGTGTTCGGCATGCACGATAACGTGGACATCAGCCGCGAGCTGGCCGAGACGCGGCTGCTGTTCGACTCGGTGCTGATCATCCAGGGCGGCGGCGCGGGCGGCGCCGGCGCCAACATCGATCACGCCTACGGCATCGCCTCCGACATCCTTGACAAGGCCGGTCTCGCCGGCGGCAGCGGCGGCGCGAAGGCTGCTGACGACGTTGCTTGGATTCACTGCGGGCTGAGCAGAGAGACGCTGCGATGGAGTGGGCGCTGGCGGCATGTCGCTGGGAGGTTTCCCTTCGACTGTCATTGTGTTGTCGATGCGTTGTTGGACATCGGATAGTGGCCATTCTTTTGCACGCGCGAGTGCTGGTTCTCGGCAGCTCCGGACCAGACAAGTACTGGGATCACAAAAACGGATGACGTGATCTGGGGTTCGAGTTCTGTCATCGAGGGCTTCCATGGATCTTGGATGTGACATTTAGAGCTGTAGGTGTGTCTGTTGCGTAGTGCAGACGTTGCTAAAATACTGCCAAGTGGTGTAATATTGCTCATGCTTGCAGGTGCCTGACGTTTTTGACCTGGAGGCAGCAGGGGCCAAGTTCCCCGTGACATACAATGAGTCCATGAATACGGTGTTGGTGCAAGAGATGGAGCGTTTCAATCGACTCATATCCGTCATTAGAACTACACTTCAGAACCTCAAGAAAGCCGTAAAGGTAAAATTCCGTTCGTTTTACACATTCAGAGATAAGCCACCAGCAAACTATAGGATAGGTCGAAGATAAAATTCTGCTGCTCAAACACACCGACATTAGACGACGAGTGAGCCGCGTGTACGGCCCATGGAGCGCTTCAGTGCTGACATCAGTGTGGTGGTGGGGCTGCCCCCCGCTCCCCGCCTCCGAGCGGCCACTGACGCCGCGCGGCCGATCGGCAGGGTCTGGTGGTGATGTCGCCTGACCTGGAGGCCGTAGCCCAGTCCTTGCTGGTCGGCAAGGTGCCTGCACTCTGGGCCAAGTCCTCCTATCTCAGCAGGAAGCCGCTGGGCAGCTACATCAACGACCTGCTGGAGAGGCTGAACCTGCTGCAGGTGGGCGGGCTGCGGCACGCCCCCCTCGAGTGGGACTGGCGGCGGCCGCTCGCTTCTGATGCTAGGAGTTTTGATGATCGTATTTGGTCACACATCGGCTTTGGAGCGTCATGCTATGTTGCATATGCTCGCAGACAATGTTTTATTGTTTTTGTCATGCGTTTTTGCATGATCGTTTCTTCATTGCATTTGTTCTATACCTGGGTGATGGAGGGATTCGGGGCGTGAGATGATATGTCTTCGCCAGTGTGAATGCACCCCGCCTGAAGGTGTGCTGGCTGTGTGCGCCGGCCTGACGCGAGCCTCTATAACCGCCGCCGCCGCTCGCCGCAGACCTGGTACGAGCACGGCAAGCCGCGCATCTTCTGGCTGTCGGGCTTCTACTTTACGCACGCCTTCCTGACGGGCGCCATGCAGAACTTCGCGCGCAAGTACGTGCTGCCGATCGACCGGCTGACGTTCGACTTCGTCTACCTGGCCGAGGAGCCGGCCGAGGTGCCGGCCGACGGCGTGCTCATCAACGGCCTCTTCCTCGACGGCGCCAGATGGGACCATGACAAGTGAGCAAGAGCCGCGCTCCGCGTGCTGGTGTTCGGGCCGCGGGCGGGCGGCGCGGCTGGCTGCGGGACGGGACGGGACGGGACGGGACGGGACATTTAAAACACGTTCTGTTGATACTGTTGTGCCGATGAATCAAGTTTCTCGGAATATTGTAAGGGGGTTAATGATGTTGGGCTGCAAGTGCTTCGCCTTTATTGTTCTGGCTTAATTGCTGGCAGTAACGACACATCCTGATATTCAACATTGCCATGCTATGACTGCCATTGATAAGCCTTGCCAGTGAAAGTGAGATGTTCTCAACCGGATATTTTTTAACTGGTCATAATGTTAACAAAACGCTTAACTAATGATACATCACCTAAAGACACATGGCAATCGAATTGATATATTTACCACTATGCCTGCATGTTCGTGATTCTTCTCTCCGTGCCGTGTCGTGTGCGTTAGCGTGTGTCCGGCGAGGCGGTGCCCGGCAGCTGACGGGGCGTCGGAGTGCCGCGCCTGGTGGGGCTGCCCGGCTCACCACTCGCCTCGGGTCGCCGCCACGTCGGGTCCGCCCTCCAACGCCACCGCCGCTGCCGCAGGGGCGTGCTGGCCGAGCAGCTCCCCAAGGTGCTGTACTACTCCTTGCCGACCATCTGGCTGAAGCCGGTGGAGAAGGATCAGTTGGAGGTGGGCTCGCGTTACCTGGCGCCGCTCTACAAGACGTCGGAGCGGCGCGGCACGCTCAGCACTACCGGGCACAGCACCAACTTTGTGCTGCCGTTCCTGCTACCGACGCTGCTGCCGCCCGAGCATTGGGTGAAGCGTGGCACGGCGCTGCTCTGTCAGCTGGATGACTGAGGCGCCGCCCGCGCTAGCCGCGCTCGCAGTTGACAGACGCCGGCTGGCCCGCCTCCCTCCCTGCCCGCGCCGACTCTTTTTGCTACAACGGGCGTGACCGACTATGACTAAATAGAGATGGCAGGTCAAAATGACTAAGCATCCGGGGAACAGTTGTGATGAATGCGTATAGATGGGTGATTCAAGTTGTTATTGTCGTCTAAAGCACAACGTCTGAAGTCTGCTGTTTATGTTGCATGCGGTTCGGCAACGCATATTCCGTGGTTGCTGATATGAACAGCGTAACAACGCATGGTGACCGAGTTCAAGTTCATGTAGCCCACTGAAACGAACGAAATGAAGGGTGACTGCGATATTTATATATAATGAAAGATCTCACCGAGCACTTTTGCTTCGTGCCTGAATCGAAGCGAGAAGAAAATTGTAAATGCATCCTGTATCAGAATTATTGTACTTGTCACATGATGTGCGGATGATCGCGATACCACCTGAGAAAGTTGGTACGTTTTCTGTTCCCTAAGCTCTTCCCGGGCGTTTGCAACAGACATCTAGTGGGTAGTCCATGCCCACACAGGGCTGTGTCCGCCCGTCGTTAATCGTGAACGACGACATCGCTGCGCCAGTCAGACACGACTGACCACACCCCGCTTATTAGAGCCGTGGCCTCCTGTGTCTGTCATACTGTCCGTCAAACCGTCTCGTCCGCTGTCGCACGGCCCGCAAGGGAAATACAGAGCGAGCTGCGCCGCACGCATGTCGTCAGAGATGATTTGGAAGTCAAGCCGGCTGCGGGGTAGGCATCGTCGATCCACATGGCCATATGTGAGCCTTCCAAGTGTCATGCCCCTCTCGGCGGCTGCCTGTCCCCGCCTGGCGTCCGCTCAGGTGCAGGCTGGACAGGCGGCAGCGGGGGAGCGGCCCGACCGCGTCACTTCTCAAGGCTGGAGGCAGGGCAGGCGACTGCGCCAAACAGAGGCTGACGTGGCGGCCGTTACACCGCTGACGTCATACCACTGGCGGCTGGGGCGGGGACGGCGCTAACAGAGGCTGACGTGGCGGCCGTTACACCGCTGACGTCATACCACTGGCGGCTGGGGCGGGGACGGCGCTAACAGAGGCTGACGTGGCGGCCGTTACACCGCTGACGTCATACCACTGGCGGCTGGGGCGGGGACGGCGCTAACAGAGGCTGACGTGGCGGCCGTTACACCGCTGACGTCATACCACTGGTGGCTGGGGCGGGGACGCGCCAACGGAGGCTGACGTGGCGGCCGTTACACCGCTGACGCCCGCCGACTGGTCACTCCGACGTCATACCACTGGTGGCTGGGGCGGGGACGCGCCAACGGAGGCTGACGTGGCGGCCGTTACACCGCTGACGCCCGCCGGCTGGCTACGCTGACGTCATGCCACTGGCGGCTGGGGCGGGGACGGCGCTAACAGAGGCTGACGTGGCGGCCGTTACACCTCTGACGCCCGCCGGCTGGCTACGCTGACGTCATACCACTGGCGGCTGGGGCGGGGACGCGCCAACAGAGGCTGGCGTGGCGGCCGTTACACCGCTGACGCCCGCCGGCTGGCCACGCTGACGTCATACCACTGGCGACTGGGGCGGGGGACGGCGCTAACGGAGGCTGACGTGGCGGCCGTTACACCGCTGACTGGCCCGACTGGCCACGCTGACGTCATTACCACTGGCGGCTGGGGCGGGGACGGCGCTAACAGAGGCTGACGTGGCGGCCGTTACACCTCTGACGCCCGCCGGCTGGCTACGCTGACGTCATGCCACCGGCGGCTGGGGCGGGCAACTGCATCATTGCAGCAGGGACCATTGACGAGGGTGTTCAGAATATGGTCAGCAGATCAGTGAGACCCAAGTTAGCTGAACGTTTTCAGTAATTCACATGTGTGGGAACGGCGTGTGATCATTGTAAAAGAAGTTAGGTCTAACTCCGTCACGATATTTGATCTTCTTACGCATCAAGTTAATACAATTCTGTCAAAAACAAAATGGGCCACAGCCCTCGCCGGGCGTAGCCCATGCGGCAATTACCACCGGACTAACGGGACTATGGAATGGCACCGAAACAATGAGATCGCCCGATAGCGTCTACCCTCTTGGGTGATATGACTCTTTGTCGGCGAATTACTGGATGCGGTCAGCCGACGGGTATGTATTGATACAAACATGAGACAGCGTTTTTATTTTAATATGCATTTTCATGGGCAGAGGAATCAAGCACAGAGAGTAGAACACCGTGTATGAAAACGTCGTCTCAGCGATAACTGGGCTGGGATGGCCGAGTGAACTGGGTAGACCTGTAGGCTAGAACTGACTGGGTAAATGACACAGATTTTGGTAATGTTGCTGCATGCGTGTGCGTATGTGTAAGACGTTTATAAAATTGTGGTTGCATGCTTCCAAAAAATACTACACAATGCTGCTGCCGACGCTTCTTTCGTGACAATTAGGTCTATTTCCGCTACCAGTGATACATTTACCTATTCAGTTGGGTGGGGGCCTCAGCCCCATCCCCCTCCACTTTGGGAATAAAGTTGGCCAAATCTGGAAAGAGGCCTCGCTGGGGGCATATTTTGGGAGTAGATTGGTAACTTTCATTGTCCCCCCCCCCCCCCCAACTGTCCTTTAACCGTGCCGCTGTCCACTTTTTGCAAATTATAAACGCAAAGGGTAAGCTTGGGTATAAGCATTTGCAATATGTTGCTGCATTTTCACCTCGATGTGCGCCCGCCGGCTGCCCGCATTCAGAAATGCCTCGTTGGGGGTCATGTCAAACACGCAGCAAATAGGGATTATTTCGCAGCTTAGGGTCGTTCAATTGCTCTGAGGTTTACTTTTAAACAAGCGCAGTCTGATTCCTTGCGCACGAGTGTATATTTTCTCGTAAATTGCTGCCGCATTTTCGTCCCGTCTTTCGTCCCGTAGGGGTGTGGTTTCCTTTTCAGCTAGGAGGCTTCAATCTCCCAACTTTAAAGACACAGTTTTCTTTGGCATGGCCCCTGATCGCTCATTTCAATGCGGACGGTGACCGAGAGTGTGGTGGCGATAACGCGAGTCATTTAGAAATGCATGTGATCGTGCGGCTCGTAGTGCTGCCTGCGGGCTGAAGTACCGCCCGTCGGTAGGACAGTGTCCCATCTAGGAGTTGAAGTGGTGCCGCCGGTCGGTAGGATAGTGCGTCACCTATGGGCTGTAATGCTGCAGGTCGGTAGGATAAAGTGCCACCTATGGCTGTAGCGCTGCCAGTCGGTAGGATAGTGCGCCACCTACGGGCTGAGGTACTGTCGGTCGGAAAGGTAGTGTGCCGAGTATGGTTTAACTTACGCCGAAGGCTCGACACAGACACAGACACAGACATTAGGATAGACTACTGATTGAGAAAGGAAAATATAGGCACCACTTTGTTAAGTCGTAAAACCGGACGCGTCTGAGACGGTCCTTATAGTGATTAAGTGTATGACTGTAGAGCAGAACACAAAAATAATGCAGCCTAACCATTGAAATGCAATTGATCACAGACTAGTGTTCAAATGCAATCCATCACAGACTAGTGTTCAAATACAACCCATCACAGACTAGTGTCAAAATGCAGCTCATCACAGACAAGTGTTCAAACACTGCTGTCCGTGTAGCACTTCAGGCGATTCAGGTTATCTTTTCGGTTAGTGTCGTTCCATTGCACGCTGAGGAGGAGACATCATGAGTGAAAGACCATTCTCTGATTTGTTCAGTAGCACCGACGGAACCGACGGAAAATGATAGCAATAGCTGGAACATCCAAATCTCTATTTTAATGAATTTGATATTAAATGCCGAAAAATAAATTGGCCGAGACAATGAACACAGGTGGAAATTCTGTTCTACAGATCAAGGAAAAATAGACACCCGCACCAGAACTGTGTATTTTCTCTTAAATTGCTGCCGTATTTTCGTCCCGTCTTTCTTTCGTCCCGCAGGGGTGTTGTTTCCTTTTCAGCTAGGAGGCTTCAATCTCCCGACTTCAAAGACACAGTTTTTCTTTGGCATGGCCTCTGGTCGCTCATTACAATGCGGACGGTGATCGTGGGTAGGCAGATCGCGGACGTCGATCTGCCTACCCATGCCATTCAATGCAAACTTAGGTTAGAACACACGGCATCTGTGGAACAGAGATGGCGAGGACGATGAGCTTTGAGTAAATGGACCCAATATGTTTTATCAAAGCGCATTAGAAAGAGCACAACTACAAGCAAAATAGGCAGGCAAAAGGTAGACGCAAGCAAAAAAAAAAAACACGGTCGGCGTTGTATTGGCCAAGTGTAAAGTAATTCATTAAGCCAATGTGACAACGAGAGCTTAAGTGCGGTGATGCGATCTGGGTATTTCCCTACTGGATTTACCACGTGACATACTGACCACAAATAACTGCAGCTGTCACGTTTCACAAGCAAATCAGTTTTTGGTGTTTTCGTGATAGCACGTGAAGCGTTGATAACCGATCTTCAGTCACACAGTAAGTACTTTTGAGGCACAGCGCACATCCGCTAAGCCTACATGCATACTGATACACCGAGGTTACGCGACTTAGACTTAGCTTCCCTAAATTGCTCGCTGCACATTGCACATCCCTGGCGCTCACGCCATGTGCAAGAAGCCAACCCCTCGGGGTAAAGCGGGTCATTATACGCTATACAGTCGCCAGCGAACAGGACCGGGTCCAAAAAGCCAAAGCTCTTGCTCCTGACCGTCACTGCTTTTAGCGATCTATCTGCTCCCGTTCCCGAGCCACGCGAGAATGCGTTCAAACAGGAGGCAGATGTCACATCCTTACGATAAACATTTGAAAGCGATCTGTTTTATCTCACGGAGCCCTCCCACGAGTTGTATGTAACTCATTGCGCTGGGGTGCGTGCAGCCGTTATGAACTTCCACCCCCCCCACCCCCACCCCCACCCCCCTCCAACCCCACCCCTCACCCGACCCACACACACAACCACGCGCCGTTTCGCCCGTTATCGGCGCGCATGGCAAAGCAATTACTGACTTAACAACCACGTGTACAAAATGAATGAGCTTGAGGGATAAAGCGCCCGGTAGATATTGATAACGCCAACCCAGCATTGGGCGAAGCGTCAATGTCCAGCGGCGATGTATTGCCATTGGCTGCCCATTATTGTCGCGACCTTGTGGCTCATTTCACTCTTTGCGTCACGCCGCGGCCGCTGCTTTGCGCGCTAACCCCCCCCCCCCCCCTCCCCTCACCCCGATCGCTGGAATTGAGTTTCGTCAGCCACCATCGCGCAGAGCCTCAGGCTCGTGCAAACCTCTGTATTGATGCAAGGTGTCTTATACGACCCCATGATCACCACCGAGCAATTCGTGTCGTCAGTTCGTCTATTAGCAGTACAAACTGAGGGCGCCGTGCCACCTGTGTGTTCCGGCCACCAGTGAAGAAACCGATGCTTACTAACCATCAATCTACGCGTCCGTGTACATAACATGTAAGTTTAGGCACCGGCGCTAC